TTTAACTGGTTATCATCAATAGAATTGCTTAATCAAAACAACAGCAGTAGCAAAATCTCTCGCAAAGTATTAGCAGGATTTTCGGCAAAAAAAAATAGTTTAGTTCGTGATCTTTGGTCATTGACCCTATATTGCAAAAAAAATAGAAACAAATGAAACTTTTCTAGTTGAAATTAACTTCTTTGTTCAAATAGGCTGTACTAAATGTTCGAACGAAAAATGCAATAGAACAATTTCTAAATATTATTTTGAAGTACTCATCATATCGTATTGCATCTTAAATTGTATTACATTATTATATTTTGTCATGTATTATTCAAAATAATGCATTTATTATAATTTTTTTCAGAGTATTCACCATTGCTGGTTAAGCTCGCTCCACTGACTCGTCGCATTGGGCAACATACCAGGGAGTCCCTTGGCGATAGAAATACAGGAGAGTCGCCAGCATCACCCGGATTTTTGGACAGGTTTACTCCTGCTGGGAATCGAACCTCAGCGCATCGGCGCTCCTAATTGAGCAAAAATTCGCTGAACCATTCCACCTCCCATTCATAGCATTAAAAATATATTTATCATATAGAATCTGGAAAATTTCGAATCGTATTATTTTGTGGATGTCTCAAAAATTTCGCTAGAAAGATGAAAACTCTTTGAAATGCCTTTGATTGCATTCTGGCTCAACTTGTAAAATAATAGTCATGTTACAAACAAATTAATGAACTAGTGTTGAATAAATTTGTTCCTGTTTTTGAATCGGCCGAATCGTATATAATCAACCGAAAAATAGGTACAAATAAACATTTGAATCGCTTTGAAAGTAAGTTATAATGAATAAAATAAAGCAGAAGTAAAATTCGAGGTAAAAAAATTCATGACAAATTCGAGGTAAAAATCCCCTAGTCGTCTATACTCCATACGACATTACGCCTAAAATAACTGAAATATTGTGTTAAAATATTAAATGGCTTGCGCTGGACCGCTGAACTTGCTGGCTTCTCTTATTTACCAGAGAATCATTTGATAAAAGACAAAATTATTAGAAGATTGGAAAAAGATTGGTAAATAAAAGAATAGGCACCATTCTGTATAAGTTGAAAGCACTATTCGGTTTGACAGATTTAGTCCTGCAGGTTTAATCTTGAATCTTGATGCCTGAAACAATAACTCGAGTAGTAGCCATTATCACAATGCACAGCCGATGGACCATATAAAAGGAGCAAATGAATTTTGGTATTATATTATTTTATTTGCCGTTAGTTAGTCTCAAATATTTCCCTAATAGAAATTCATTTCAAATTTGAAAAAATATTGTTTTAATTTCAATTTATCTTTGAATAACTGTTCAATATCCGGATGATTTTAATTGAATTTAAGCGTTTTCAATAATAAATATTAATCATTTTTGTCTGAGAATAGCGAAGGATTTGTGCGAAATTGAAAATGAAATCGAACAGCGACGGAAATAAACGATCCATTTTATTTTCAGTATTTTGGTTAAATCGGATTTAATTTAAAATTTTATCACAAATTCATTTACTTGACATGCCTATATAAATTCAGTAATCCACAACTGCTTCAGTCTTTAGTTGGTATTTTTGCAATAAGGGCAATTAGAATTGCTATTTAAAACTACTCCATTTTTTCATAAAATTTATTCTCCTAGGATAATGAAAAAAAAAAATTTAAAAGCCTTTAGCCAAATCTATCGTGTAAGTTTATCTCTTCACACTTTTCGCTTCACGATATCCATTCTTATAACTATTGGAATGAAAAAACCACTTATTTAAGGTATAAAAAGTATAAAAGAAGGATAATAGAAACTAATAAATGATTCTTAACAAAGCTTTCGCACGAAATATTCGTTTATATATTACAGATTTCATTTTACCCAATAAGTATTTTTGCTAATTAATATTATCAGTGTTGCTCGTAAGGGCAGATAAATTAAATAAATAGGATGATTCTATAAAGTAGAATAATGGTAATGATAGATAGGCTTAGGCTCAGGCTGTGGGATATCTTTTTTCAATCAAAAAAATATTTATGGTAAAAATTGCCAAAAATATGTGATTGGCTAATAAAAAATGAGGCGTTTTTTTCGGAAAATTTTGTTAAACTTTTCTTTTCTTTATTTTTGACGGTCATTTAAATTTTTAAGAAGTATGAAATGGTTGGATACATTATTCTATCCATTCTTTGCGGATCTGGTTGGCTTTTACCTCACATTAGTTATAGTATTTATTAATAGAGGTGGATCGAGGATAGTAGAATCGATTCGATCATAGTAACTCGTTCACTTAATTAATTTCTTAAAGTAATGTTTAGAAACGGAATTATTTGAGAATGAAAAGCAACGTGGGACCTTTTCTTTATCGCTATTATTATTTATGTCCAAGTATTCTAAAAACAAACCATTGTAATTTTGCTCGAAATTTATATAAATTTTTAAAATGCCACACTTTTCCGTTATATTTCCGTTTATATTACTGAATCTAAACGGATTTTTCTTAGGCCTTTTGTGATTTTCTAAATTTTTGCATAAAATCAACATTTCGCTAGAGATGGCATTTTGATTTATATCATTTCATTTAGAAATTTCTCTTTTTTCAATTAATTTCATCAATGAATTATTCGTGCACATCATTTTCATGTGAAAGCCAGTAATTATTAATTACTTTAGCCTATGTATAACCTAATTGACCATATTTAATATATTTTCTAGCTACCAATATACGTCTCCGACTGCTTTTTTCGCTCTTCAAATCATCAGTGACTATTATTATTAGAAGCCGCTTTCCATCATTAAACTTTTAACAAATATTCGAACCAGTGTTTTTTTCTTTTTTTCAAGTTTTTGCATACAGAGTCATAGAGTCATAGCTAAAAATGGATTCATTTGATATTTAGCAATTATACCTTTGAATGGATGGTAATAAAAGGTTCGACCAGAAAAGGAATAAATTTAAATGCCAAAGATGCAGCTGCTAAATAACTATGGTCGATGAAAAACAGATAAAATTAAAATATTCTTTAAAATATAATATTACAAATTTCGGATTTATTATATGTAAATTCAAAAATACTACTCGATGTTAACAAATAATTTACAGGTTAAAAGCATGCGGCAATTCGCATTACTTATTGTTCTCACATACTTCATATGTTTCACTTTATGTCAGATGACTTTCACAGACAATTGGGAGAAACGATCTTATTCACCATTATTTGTTCGCGGGTGGACGTCGTAAGTTCTTTCATATAGTTTTTTTTAAGGAAAGCAAAATTTAATTTAAGCAAAAGCAAAAAAATATGAAAATGACTTCTTATATCTTATTTAGCATAATTTAAAAAAGGTATGATTTTTGACGTTTTATTCATTTTTGGGTTTTATCAACTAATTTCATTATGATAAATGATTAACATAACGAAAAGATTTTTCTCAATCTTTGCTAAATGATTCGAACTTATCAACTAACTTAAAAAAGATACTAGTAAGTTCATCACAAAATAATGGATTGTTGAATAATTTAGAAATTCTGGAATATATTCTGCAAAGAATGTTTGTACTTGGAAAAATGTGCTGGAAGCCAATAAAGAACTAAAACACCTGTCCAATCGGCAATTGGAAATCATGAATTATATATCTAAATGTAATGCTCGATCAAATCTCGACAATATTGCTGAATAAGTCAAACATCAGTTCATTCAAAAAAAAACTTTTCTTCATGGTTGATAATATTTAAAAATTTATGTTGCGATCTCAATGATAATAATTGTGACAATGCATGGAATTCGTTGATTTATACAAACTTTTTAAAATGTTTCGATCAGAAGAAAATATTTATAAACTTAAATAAACTTGAAAACAAAAATTTTCTCTCATTTACTATTAAAATTCTTTGTATATTTGTATTTGTGAGAAAATAAATACTTTAAATTGTTACTCTAAACATTTAGTATTAATTGTTATTATTAAATATTAATACACAAAAGATAAAAGAATTGAAATGTGAAAATCCCATTTTTCTCTTTTTTGGTGGATTCTATGCGTAATGATCACTATTAAAATCACTAATAAAAAAGAATAAAAACTCGTAACTCGTTGATTGAAAGATAGATTGTTTCTTGAGTAAACTGAAATTTCATATTTATTGTTGGTTATTTAAGATGCTCGTAAAAAAATTTATTTCCTTAGACTAGTTGATTCCTTTTTATGCCACAGATCCCTTCTGCAATCTGGTAAAGCTCAGCTACTCTTTGAAATCTGTGGACATCGCCCCATTAATGCATAAAATAAAATATGTAGAGCAGTAGAGAAATAATGCAATATTCATAATTGCGAATGTTACTTTAAAAAAAATTAAAATGCGAATTTTCCCTAGCTTCGTTGGCAGCAAAGCTTTCGAGCCTGTATAAAAAGTCTAACCACCAGTTTAAGGTGATAAACAAAAAAGCTTTTCAACAGTATGTATGTCTTTCTTTCAGTGAAATTATCCCAAAACTTATTTTCATTTACGATTCAAAAATATGATTTTTTGAACGGATTTTCGAACGATGCACAGTTTATAGTTGTTAGTTCATTTGTGCATCTACAAATTTTTAAAAATAGATGAATGAAAAACGAGATAAACGAAAGAAAAGATTAATTTCTAAATTTGCATCATGCAACGAAATATTATGGAATTTCTTGTTTGTCAATTTTTAATAAACTTTTTCTCCATGAATAACGACGTTTTTTATGGTTAATTTTAGTGAATGTCTTCAATAAACAAACAAAAGAATTGAATCACATTATTAGTTGTAATTTTAAGTATGAAAATGCATGCATACAATGCATGATATATTTGAAAACGAATTCCGTTTCTTCTTTCCATTTAAAATTATCACTAATGCAATAACATTAATCGAAGAGGGCGTTTTGTTCACAAAATGGTCGATGATTTTATATCGATTTTCAATCACTAATCACTATAATCATTAGTCGTTAGCAATCACTGATGGCAGATCATAATCGTCAACTAATTGTGAGTTAAAATTTTGCGAAAAAGCCTTTTTGTGATATTTTTTATAAGCGAGATCCATGCAAAAATTCGTTTCTTTAGAAAACAAATGGCATTAATCAGCTAAAGCTGCAATTATTTTCCACCTATATTTCGAGAATGTTTTTAATGCCATCGTTTTACTCAAATAAAATTTATATGAAATATTTATAGGAAATATTTTCGCGACCATTACCCGATGATGAACTCGCAGAAACAACGCGTAAGTTATGTTCAGTTTATCTGAATGGTGTATGGCAAACTATTTCCGCAAAACAAATGGATATTAAATTGCAAAGGTTGAAATTTTCGAGTTTAATAATTAGAGTTCAGATCATTGATGAAATCTAATATACTTTTCTTATCAATAAATTTCCACAAAAATTGCGGAAAAACTATGGAGAACCAAACAATAAAGAAATCAGTACAAAAACCGAAATAATGTTTTAAAAATGAAAATTAAAAATTCGTCCTTTTATACGAAATTATCAGGGTGCTTAAATTAAAAGATTTTTTTTTTACTTCTGATAAATTCTGATAAAATTTAACAATTGAAAGAATAGGCTTAGACTTTAAATGATAAACTTGTTGCACTGGAAAGGTTTTTTCATTCCTCATTTCTCCCTATCACTGATATCTATAAAACTAATAAATCCATGAATGTGCATAAAAGTAATTGTGGAATTGAAAATATAAAATGAAAAAAAATTAAAGGAAGATTTACTAATTTGCCCTACTCAAATAAGCATATGAATAATTTAGAAATTTTTTCTTTGGTCTCTCAGATATTTATCTTTCGTTGTGATTTTTTTTACACTTAATTATTTTTTTGATAAATAAGTAGATTTTTTGGTTTTTGATGATAAAAAAAGAAATATTTCTTCTTAAACTGATAATGTGGCAACAGCATTAAGATGAAGTGATAAAAGCACTAATTTCAGTGGTGGATTGAATAATAGTTTGTTTGTCGTAAAATTAGCGCCAAATGTGAAACGGATTGGCGATGAACCACAAACAGTAATTTTGCGAATTTACCGAAATGTTACATGCGAAGGCGAATTGATTCAAACAGCTATATCACTTGCACTCGCTGAAAGGTTGCTTTCATGGAAATTGCTATTTTTCTCGAGCCATCATGAAAGTTAAAGTTTTGAATTGTTTACTTTAAAAGAAACCACACTTAACATAATTTTTATCTTCTGTCAACGTGGCATAGTCTTATTTACTCTATTTATACATAAATTCGAGTGAATTTGAGTGCGTAGAACCAATAAAATGCTGAAAGGATTTTTAAAGGGGCCTCAGGTTTTCGGAAGCGCTGCTTTCTGAGAAAGTTGGCAAGAGGATGGAAGATATGAAATACGTTGACGACATCTGGGAGTACGGTAGTTGAGGTAGAATTTCGATCTCTTCAGCCTATCATCATCAAGTTTCTTTCCTTTCTCAATCGCGCTTAGATTCAATTAAGCGCAGTTCCCGCTAAACTGCACAATTACTTCTGGGAATAGTCTCTATGACTTGCTTCGGATAAGCGAGAACCATCGGATGTTCGCTTTCTGTCCGTTTCCATTTTATAGAAATGAATTTGCCATAAGTTTTCATATTTTTTTCACATTTTATTACTTTTTATTTTCAAGTTGAAATTATTATCTTTCAAGTCTGAAAAGATTTCATTTCCTTTGGTTCCTTCGAAACACAGGCACATCTTTAAATAATTTTATTAAAGATCTCTTGGACCCGCGTTGCTTGGCGTTTTTCCTGGCGGTCGAATCGATGAATTTATTCCCTCTCGAATTGTTACTAACAAGGAATTTCTCAATATAAAGTATAAATTGATTATTTTCTACTCATTCAGTATTTCAGTATCAGCACAATATAGGTTCTTTTTGCGTTTGTTCTGATTCCATTAATTTAACTATTTAGCGTTGCTCAGCGTCTCGCCAGAATAATTGCCAATATTCATTCGCTCGAACTTCCAATAAGTAAAAAACCAATTTTGGTAGACATTATACAAAAGATGCTTGATGAATTGAAAAAATCCTTTCGCTGGATATCGAAACAAAAAATGCCAGCAACGATTGTTAAACCAGAAGTGGTATTTGTTTCATTAATTAAACATTTATTTACTTTATGACTATAAATAGGCAAATTTATGTAATAAAGATTGGTGCAAATATTTATCTTTAAATTTACAGATTTTACGACTGTAATTTTTTAATACCAAGAGCTCTTTGAAATTGTTAAATTTAGCACTTTTAGCATTTTTACTTAGTCTAATCTTTGACAGTTTTAGTGACAGTTTTAAATTACAGTTTTAGTCACAGTGATTAATACTGTAAAATTGCAAACACCAAAAAGTAAAGTAAAAGTGATCAAAACTGCTTTAAATGCAAATATGGCTATGCAAAAATATTTCTAAAATTGTCTTGAAGTGAGTGAATTTTTGAATTATATAAAATACAATGGAATTTTTCTCGAGACGGTGAATGAAATATCGTTGAAATTATTAGAAGATGAATTGCAAATAGCAAAAGACTGCATGGAGAAAAGTGGAAGCCCAGTCGTATTCTGCAACAACGATATACACGTTCGTATTTGAATTTTAATTAATTTTTTGATAACATTCAATAGCAGAAAACTAGAAGTATACAGAGAAAATATGCAAGTATTTAATAGAATTTCAAAAAATTATTCTATCAGAAAATTTCCCATATATTTTCCCAATTAATCATTATTGTATTGCAATGGAACCCTTTCCTTCGTTATTGCACCACTTGTAAATAATTGTACTACTTTCGGTTGCAACTGTTTTATTTTAATCATTCTATTTTAATCTTCGTAAATTGGTGTTTCGATCATTGAGCAAGAATAAGCCTATCCAAAAATCCGGGTGATGCTGGCGGTTCACCCGTACTTCTATCGCCAAGAGACTCCCTGGCATATTTGTCCAGTGCGACAAGCCAGCGGAGCGAGTTTAACCAGTAACGATGAGGACTCTCTTAAATCTTCGTAAACTAAATTTCTTTCTAGCATTTGAAATTTGGCAGTTTCGATCCAACCGAACACAAATAACAAATATTTTATTGAAATTGCTCAGTTAAATCCTAAAATTATTTCAGGTCTTATTGTAGGTCTTCGAGCTATTTTAGTAATAATTTCTACCAAAATAAAGACTTAAAGATTTAAATATAATTACTTTATCAAAGAAGGTAATAATCATGAATCAGAAAGAATAAAAAAAAATAAATAAAAGAATAATGCAATTCCATTTCATCTTTAAAAATTCTCATTTCTCAAAATTCTCATTTAAATTTTATCGCACGCAATTCGACTGAATAAAATTGTTGAAACGATTATACGAATTTTCTTTCAAATAAGACAGAAATATATAGATTATATAGAAATATATAGAAATATATAGATTACATCAAAAAATTTGCCCAACAACAAATGAATAAAGTTTTCGAGTTCTTAATTCTTATGAACGGGCTTTAAAGCGCATATTAAAGGAAGGCAACGTTTTGCTGCGACAAAATTTTCAAATCACCGAAGAAAGTTTGAATGGAGCACAAGACGGTGTCGATCCATTAATTTTGATTGATTACGATTATGGTTCATACTTTTATCGGCATGTCTTTGCTTATTTTAATTCATTTGAATTTTATTCTAAACATTTCGCGTAGAATTACATTATTATATTATATTTGCTTCAAATTTCTCACAATAAAAAAGAAAAAGCGCTGCAAAGCTAATAAAAACGAATAAAAAATTGGAAATAAAGAAAAAATAAGATCTAAATAACCAGTATAAACCGAATTTCGTGGTTTGATGTTTGAGATATTTATCCTTCATTAAAATCTAAAATTTTAGTGGTTTTGATATCGCACATTACTGTATGGAATGTTGCCTACATAATGAGAATCCAGAATATCCTTATTATTCCATATTACCCGAACAGTGGCCAGAAAAAGAGCATAGAAGAAAATACATTGAAGCATATTTGGATGAAGCAACAAAAGTTAGTCATCGATTCATAATTTTTTGCATATTGTGAAATGATAAAAAGGTGCAATTTTATGAAACAATCGAATCGATATAAATAAATGAAATTTAAGATCATGAAAAAAAGAGATGGAAAAAAACCATGGAATATTTCGGATTTACCAGAAAATCGTGAAACTGCAGTTGAAAAACTTATGACTGAAATCAACCAATTTGTTGCTATCGCAAATTTATTTTGGAGTATTTGGTCATTCTATATGGCGGAGTCTTCAGGAAAATCCGAATATCCCTTTTTCAAATATGGATTCGAACGTATTGCACTGTATTACTACTGGAAGCCAGAAATGCTAAAATATGTGGCTATCAACCCATATGTTGATAACTATTCTTTATCCTAACTTTGATAAAAATTCTGTAGCGATTTAATGAATTTAAAAAGAACTTTTGAGAAACCCAATAAAAACATAATTCATCAAATCAAATGAAAATACCAATTCGGAAATATGATGAAATGTAGCAGGTAAACAGAGGATTAGGAAGATTATGAGAACAATAATTATGACGAATCACATCGACTACCTTTCCATTTATACGTACCAGAAAACACGAAACCATGCTTCCTCATTAATTCATCAGCTTCTTTCGGTCCTCGGCTGAAAAAGACCGTTTAAATATTTCTATAAAAAGAAAGTTGTAAAAGACCAATAATAAGAAGATTTAGAAAGTAGAAACAATGGAAAACTTTGGTGATGAACTGAAAAATTTTTTAAAAAGTATGGCAGCAAAACCATTGAAAAAGTTTTCAATATTATCAAAATGCATACCTTCCGAATTCATATTCTATTGGCTTGATTCTTTCACGTTCAATTTTCTGCAGTAGAGGAGTAAATATTCGCCAAGAATAATCCAGTTCATCAGTACGAACGAAATTAATCTGCGAACCCATGATTACTTCCAAAAGTAATCTTTCATATGCATCGGGAAGCCGAATGTTCTAAAAGGGAAAAACAGAGCTAAAATTAGAAGTTGAAATGGATAATAAAAGACCAATTTATGTAATAATTGCATTAATTTCAATAATTTTATTTAAGATATTTCAAAAAAACCTTATAACGATGACTATAACTAAGGTCAAGTTCTGTTTCTTCAACTCCGAACCCCATTCCTGGTCTTTTAGTCATCAATTTGATATAGACAGCTTCATCGGGTTGAACACGCATAACTAATTCAGTACGCTTCAATTCACCAGGTGAATATATATCACCCGAAACAGCTTTATATTGTATCCTCACTTCGGCTTTTTTCTCATTTAGTGCTGAATTTAAAGAAGAAATCGAAAGAAAAAAGATGATTTGAATAATAAATAAACAAGATTAAATTATAATCTTAAGAAATAAAAACTTTCAAACCAAATCATGGTAAAATGAATTTCAAAAAAGAGAATAGAAATGGCACCTTTCCCACATCTTAAGAAAAATGGAACACCATCCCAACGTTCATTATCAATTTTAAGAGCAGCTAGAGCGTAAGTCGGAGTAACAGAGTCCTTTGGAACAGCAGGATCATCAAAATATCCATAACAGGCTTCTCCAGCTATAAAATAAAATACATCTATTTATTTCGACGAATAAAAATCAAAAGAAAAGAAAAAAAGAAAAGTACATTTGGCTTTGGGATCTCTAACATATTGTCCAAGTACAACTTCGCTTAATTCGATAGGTTTAATCGCCTTCAATACTTTAACCTGAATCATAAGTATTTAAGACAGATCCTGTACCTTTAAATCAAATTTAAAACCACAGGACAAAAATATATTTCGACATTACAGTCTAAACATAATAGTCAAGCCATTATTCACTAATTTCATCGAGAAATTGAGAAAAATCTCAATGTTTTGTGCAGATTTGTCATTACCATTTTATAAGAATTCAACCTTTTCATCTCGGATATCTTCGGCATTTAAACTGGCTGGTTTTTCCATAGCAACCAAAGTTAGAATCTGTATTAAGTGATTTTGCATTACATCTCTAAATTCGTAAGAATTAAAAAATTTTGAATTTTTATTTCTAAATTTCTAATCTAACCGTAGCCAAATACTTTCTCTCTTTCCTAACCAAGAAAAAAAAGGAACCTTATAATACCACTTTTATCAAAATACCCAGCTCTGCCTTCAGTACCGAAATCTTCTTTAAATGAAATCATTATAGACGAAATGTTATCTCGATTCCAAGATGGATTGAAGATTCGATTACCGAATCTGAAATTTTTAACCAGTTTTGGTAATATTTTAAAAAACTTTTAAAAATAATTTATGAATAAAATGTAAAATTAAAATATATCAAATCAAAAACATACCTAAGTACCATCAAATTTTGAACCATTTCCTTCCCCAGATAATGATCAATGCGATAAATCTGATCTTCAGTGAACATTTTTGCTAAATGTTTCGAAAGATTTGCAGAAGATTCAGCATCGTGACCAAATGGTTTTTCAATAATAATTCTTGTCCAAGAATCACTGAATTCTACAGTTAACCCGACAAATAAAATTATAATAAAATAGGAAAGAAAATACGAAAATAGGAAAGAAAAGTGAGTAAACTGTTTTTTGCAATATTTTTCCAAAGCCCATTTCCATTTTTACAAATAAAAATCATCCGACAAATGTTATCACAAAAATGTTATCAATTTATCACTATAAAAGGACAAACCCTCTATCCATACAATTCTTTTTAATTCGTGTCGTGACTTCTTGAAATATGGACGGTGGAAGAGCCAAATAATATAACCGATTAACAGGTGCTGAAAAATACTTGAAAAAAAAAATGACAAATAACAATAAATATAACAGAAAAAACATATCCAAAATCCAAAAAAAATTTAACGCAATTCGATAAAAATATGAATTACCATCACCACATTTCTCTTGAATTCCATCAATGAAATTTTGAAGCCTAACAAAATCTGCGGAAGCATCATAACGCCCTCTAATATATGTACAACGCCTGATAAACATATTGAATTTATCAGATTCACCTTCATGTAACTAAAAAAAGTTAAAGCATAAATAGTAAAATAAAAGACATTTAGCTACAGATTTTATGCCACAGATCGAATTCCGATCTTCGAAAGGATGATTACAGGCAAGATTTGAAAAATAAGTGAAACCTTGTAAGATGTTCAAAATATATATATATATATATATGTATATACAAAACTATAAACGATAAAAACGATGATGACATCGGAAAGTACAGTTCTATTCCTTACTTTACAATATTTTTCAAATTCTTTCCTTAGCTGGTCCACAGATAAATCTGATCGGGCGAATCCAATGATCGAAATATTTGTAGGCAAAAGAGAGTCGCGAAAAAGCCACCAAAGAGTCGGATAAATCTTTTTTTTCGCTAAATCTCCCTAAATAACCACAATACTGAAATTCGGACAAAAACTCGAAAATAAGCCGTCAAATTTCAAAGACTTACAGATGCGCCAAATATGACGAAGACATATGGATCCGTCAATACATCTCCCATCGATTCCTTCAGATAGGTTATGAGATCCGGATGCAGCGGTGATGAAATTGAATGTTTTCGGTGCAAACAATCTTTCTGGTCCATTTTGTTGGATATCTGATGTAACTAAACATTTTCAAACTTCGTTATTATCAAATGTGGAACGAAGAAAAGCGGAAAGAAAATAGCGCATTCAGATTGCTCGAAAAATAAAATCGCCGTTTTATGAAAAAAATTCTCTCCTCTCACAAATAAAAAAACATTGGGAGAAGAAAAAGTCGGCAAATTCTTCGACGGCAAAAAAATCTAAATTAGTTTAATGCGTTAAATTATTACCATTTTAATGCTATCAAAACTCAACAATTTCAATAACTTCTAAATTGCATTATTACCTATTTTGTATTAAAAAATTTTCTAAATATGTGAAAATATAAGAATAAATGAATATTGGGTGCGCTCATTCAAAAGGAACGGCTTTCGTCAGCTGTCGGCGTCGGATCGGCAGCCTGGAAGTTCCCTACCCTTGTAGCGAGTACGGCCAGCCGGAGCAGTACTGGTGGAGCCGTCTGAAGCACGCATCTATCGAAGGTGACGACGACGAATAACTAACTTATAATGAATGCATTCGTTAACATTCGTCCTACCGAAACGAGTATTTCGAATGCCTTTTTGTAGCATTTACAATTGACAGTTAACGGACGATTGATTAACTTAAAAAATTCACCGACCGAATTTCATTTACTTAAAAAATAATTTATTTAAAGTAATTTGATTTCAACTAATTCAACTAAATCAAAAAAAGGGGAATTAAACTATTGGCGTAGAAAAATCTCAAACAAACTTCTTCTCAAGTGATTTAATTAAATCTAAAAATCTAAATTCTTATAAATGAGAAAGAACAAATATTTGCCGCTTTCCCACAAATGTTTCTGCAAATACTTCCCAGATTTATTTGATGGAAATGAGAGTCGTTCAAACATATTTCCCTAATAAATAAATCCTCTTCAACTTTCGAAGTAAATTCGTCGATAAAACTTTCATAACTATTAATTTAAAATACAAATACAAACCTAATCAAAATATTTCTCTCGCTAGACGGCTGTGGCTATCCTCGAAGTATTCTTTAATACTCTCCCTAATTCCAGTCATCCACGGATTATTTTAAACAATTGAAGTAATCGAACTTTGAACTAAATTTTGTCAGTGACATATATTTGCGATAATAATAATGCTAAAGAGCCAATTTGACATGTTTAATTTTACCATGAAAAATCTATTCAACTATTTGTGAATAGTTTAAAGAATGAAAAATTGGTGATAATAAACCAACGATCAAAACTTTTAACAGTAAATAACTCTAATTTTTATCAAACCCCAAAATAATCCAATTATTCCTCAGTCCGTATTAACTTCCAACATATTTTTATTATATTTTTTGATTTTATTTTGGATGACAGAATTTACAATTACATGCTTTATTAATAATGAAAAAGGCGATAAGACTTCCCACTTGCTCCGAAAAAATTTAAAATTTCTTCAAAAAAATTAATTTGATAAATATAGAAATTGAAAATGTCAAGCACAATGTTGTAACAAGTGAAAATATCAAATAATCTTAAAAACGTATCTCAAACGTTTTTTAAAATTTACTTTTCCAAAACTTCTTAAAAGAAAAAACTGCATCTGCAAACCGAAATGAAAAACATTAACCAAAAATTTACCAATTTTTTTTAGCCAATTTATCTAATAAAAATTGAATTAAACTACATCAAAATTTTACACGAAATTCAACAACTTCATTTCAATTTTAAATGCTTTTTTAAAAAAAAAGAGAAAAATTCGCGACAATAATCATTATTCAAGCAAAAATAAAATTATAGAACAACAATATGCAAACTTGCATCAGATTTTCAAAATAATCTTAAATTTTATAATAACCGAAAAATCATTTTTAACCGACTATCTTTTAAAGCTAATAGGAGCAATTTAAAAACCGTGATAACACGATAGATCTCGCATGTCTTAACACTAAAAAAGAAGGAAAATTAGAAAGTCAAATCAATCATCTTTATCTGTTTCTAAATTAATACTATTACCAAATTTACCATATAATATTGACTTCAAAGCATTCATCTCATTTTGCATTTCCATTTCAGATCTGCTTAACTGATTAATCTTCGATTTTAATTTATCTTTTAATGATTCAAGTTCGTTATTTACCGAATCCTGAAAAATGAATCCAATGATCTTATTCCATGAGAATAAGCCTACAAAGGCCACTCAAGTAAATCCAATCAAAAGTAAAATTTCTTAATGAAAATAAGAAAAGTATTATTCCATTTAACAATGTGGTGGATAGAAAAATAGTAAAAACATGCCGGATAACCGAAGAAAAAAATGATGTATTATATTGATTAAAACAAGTCGGATAATCATTGATAAAACGATAATTTAATACTTTTAAACTCCAGCAGCTCTGATCCTATTAAGATTCTTCCAACAGAATTTTCATCCTTCTTCAACAGTTCTTTCTAATCATTACTGGTTAGGCTGGCTCCACTAACTACAAGAATAAGACATTTCCAAACAGCGCAATCTGATACCATCATCGATAGTAATAGAATAACACTCTTTTTTCATTTTTTTATATTTCCATTTTTTCATTTTTTTTAAGTCCATATATTGCTAAACCATCTATACGTTCGAAATCTTTCTTGACTGCGTCAGTCCAGGTTGGTTGGTTCATCTCGTTTTTGACGCCACCCATCACAGGGTTTAGCAAGAAACGAAATATATGTCAAACTCTTGTAGTAGACAATGAAGAACATGTATTAATCAGCGAAGGCGGCGCTCCGTGATGGTATTTTCATTATTTTCTTTTCATTCTCAGGATTTTCGTCAAATTAACTTTTTCAATAAATTATTTTTCTAAATGTCATAAAATCTGATGACTATAAAGGAATGTCATCGATGAATAAACGAACACATTTTCTGTCCTCTCTGTACTCTATGAAAGAAAAGAAAAAACTCATTTATTTCAACGAAAAAATATAAAAATTTCGAAAGAATAGATAGAAAAATCAGAAAAAAAGAGAAATATTTTTCTTCACTTCTTTCCTTGCAACATTCTTACACTTATTAATAAATAAAAATAGAACGATGTTTTACCTGATCATAATGTATAAAAATACTACCAAGCTTCATTGGAATTGCAGACGAATCATCCAGAAGCAATAACTCATCCGATGCGTCGTTTGAATTTTCCAAATCTTTGTTCGCCTCAAACAATTTCTCCTTAAAATATATTGATTTCAGCTGAAACAGAAAGAAAAAAAAAGAAAAAAAATCTAAAACTGAACAGAAATCAACTTAAAAATGAGAGTTGTAAAAAAAATTCAATGAAATAATTATTGAAGAAAAAGAAACCTTAACTTCACGCCATTGCTGATGAAGGCGAGCGAACCTGTTAATAAGTTTTTGATCGTCGGCAGTTACGTGCACTTTAAGGTTCATATTGGCTGCTGCCATTCTTGTTAGAAATCTAAAAAAAACAAAATTCCATTAAATTCTTTCAATTACAATTTTCATTACATCGTTCAGAAAAATTAAGTGAAACGATATTTTACCCCAAAAAAAAGAAATTCAACAAATCTTCAAAAATATAATTTCTGTTAATTACAGTAATTTTAAATGCGCAAACTCACAAATAGTTTTAAAATTTTAAAAAAATTCATAAAATATTGAAATTCTGTTGAAAAATTTAAATTCATTATTATAAAGAATATTTTAATGAAAATTCTATTATAACTTTTAAATAAAACATTGAATTCACCACAGATCGGGTGATACTATGGACCGATTTGCTCTCCCTCTTTTCTCCATCACTTCCACAAGTGGACCGCTGCCAAAAGGATAGCAGCCAACAGCACTAGAAATAGCGAATGGCGATTTGTAAGAAGACCTACCATGAAGTGGCTTCGGGATAGCCATATAGGTGGACAATAATACATTTATTTCTTGAAATAAAACCTCGCATTTATGAACTTCGTATTTCGAAAGAAAAGCACAATTTATAACATAACAAAGTGGGGCCACAGCCTCCCTCGACTGAGACAAGGTACCAGATAGCGATCCCTTATAAAGACTCTGGAAAATGGCCGCTGCCAATCAAAGGGATCAAAGATCAAAAACCTGAAAAATACCCATAAGCAACCCTGGATTTTATTAACGCCGAGAAAAGACAGTCATACAGTCGGACCCATCTTCACCAAGTGCACACCGGCATTACGCCTTAGATGACGTTCAACGCACTCTGTCGGAGAGGAAATCACCTCGTGTCAAATCCAAACCTCCGCGGTGCACAGCGACGAAAACGAGAGGGCGCATTTAAGACGCGGAAATTTCGCACCCACTGACAGTGCATTTGCACTGGTTATATGCCCTAAAGGAATGGCTTTTTCAGCTGCGCAGTCGAGTCGAAACGCTCAAAATTATCGCCTTAAATCCGCACCTTTTAAATTTTCTAATGCGCTTACATCCCACAAACCACACAAAAACGCAAATCCCTTCCGAAATCCATCCGAATTTGCAAAAAGACAACTATTCATCAGATGAAGTTGAGTCCGCATCACTATTTTTCGGTCCATTTTGGGTGAAGCTCATGCAAAATCCTCAACTTCCACTTATTTCATGTGGGTTTATTTCAGAATAACTAATAATTAAATCAAAATTATTTGACTGTTTTGTGGTTATTTTAATGAATATTTTTAGATTTCTTATCATTGAACGTAAGAATTTTATATAAATTTTATTCTTTTGTTTTTGCTTTTTTATCGATTAAAATCATTGTTTTTATTTTTTTCGTGCTGCAAAAAAAATAATTTATATTTTTTTCCATTAATTCATTAAAAATAAATTATTTATTTCATCAAAATATTATCGATTTATTGAAATTTCTTTGATTTTTCGTTAAAAAAATTCGCAAAGAAGGACAAATAAGAAAAATGAGCAAAAAAGCTAATTGAACTTTGGTTGATCGCAACCTCCTAACTTTCCGGTTACATGGGCAGCGACGGTGAAAGGTCGTTTATGCGTATGGTCTTTCCTTTTTACTCTTCTCTCTTCCCGTCTCTTTTTTCTCTCTTTCCTCTTTCAGCTCGCTTTCTTCTTTAATTTCTCTTCGCGACTAGTCGTTGCATTCTTATCTGTTACCTTCGTAAAATTCTTCATCAGTAAACCGCGGTGAGTCGACGTTTTGCTTCTTTCATTCTCCTCCTAAGCCTCTTTTTCATCGAAAACTTATCAGTCGGTGCCGTCTAAGTTATCGAACAGTATCCAAATTTCTATTACTTGAATTGATTTCCTTTCAGGTTTGCAAATTCGTTTCAAACTTTTCACAAAATATTGCGAAAATTTTTTTGCAACTTGATGAATAGGTCTATAATCGCTCTTTAAGTGTTCATAATTTTTATTTTTAATTTCTTTTAATAATTTCAAAAGTTTAGAGAAGAAGGGAATTGATGAATTATGGAAATACAATTAAAAAAATTCAATCTTTTCTTTTGGTTTTGAAAATTTTATTTCTAAACGCGTTAAACGTTGTTTGCAATTGAGTACCATTTTCTGAAAACCAACATTAATTACATTTTCTGATGTCAGATCGATAGTTAATGCAGATATATTTCACATTTATGAATTAATTCGTCTTCTTTTTCTAACAGCTCTCACCATTACTGGTTTTTTAGCTGACTCCAACGGCTATAAGGATAAGACGCTTCCAAGCGGCGCGGTCTGATTCCATCGTCGACAGTAATAGAAGCCATTCTTTTTTCCATCGTCTAAGTCCATATATTGCTGGTCCACCTATACGTTCAAAATCTTTTCTGACCATATTAATCTTGATTGGCCCACCTCGCTTTTGACGCCAACCATCATACGGTTTAGCAAATAACGAAAGCACCAACACCTGTGGTGGACGACGAAGATCGTGTCCTAACTAGCGAAGGCGACGCTCTATGATAACATTATTTATGCAAGTGGTATTTGAACGAAGGTGGATGCGATCATTTGATATCTTATCCGCTCGATCGGATCCGTAATATGTACCTTAGACAAGAGTGATCAAAGGCATAACTTCTTAATATCTTCCACTCTCATTGGCCATGACTCAGAGCCATATAGCAAGATCAAACGAATCACGGCTATTTTATGACGACTCCATAAAGGTTTCGTCAACCAGAAGAACGCATTTCTAGCTGTCGTGATCCGAGTTATAATATCATCTTTTGCCTGTCCATTTGGTATTAGAGTGGACCCAAGGTATTTGAAATCAGGCACTTCCTCAACCGGCAATGAATTTACAAAAAGAGGCTTTTTATCAGCTTTTTGCACATAAGACGAAAAGACTTTCGTTTTATTTACATTGATCCTGAGTCTGATTCTTGCTGCAATTTCTGACACGTTATTTAGTATTACTTGCATTTCGTTATAACTGTCAGCAAAAATGACTACATCATCAGCGTATTCAAGATCGATGGTCTGGACTGATTCGGACACTTCTTGAGTGCTGACAAGCGATGTTCATTAACCAGTCTATCGCATAGTTGAATACTGTAGGGGAAAGGACGCAGTGCTGATAGACACCAGTTCTTATTTCGAAGGAGTCTATCAGCTTTCCATATACACAGACATGCGCCGACATGCGTTCATAAAATGCCTTTATAAGACGAATGATTTTCCCTCTAAAACATTGTCGCGTTCCATCAGACTCTAAAGCGCCGCTCTATCAATTGAATAAAAGTCAGTCGCAAAGTCGATGAATTAATTCGTTCCTATTGGTGTTCTAAAAAAGCGATATAGAAAACTGAGCTATATTTCATATCACTGAATTACTAAAGTAAGCAACAACAAAATGAAGAGCCTCAATCAAGCATTTCTCGTTTTCTCCTCACTTCTCACCTCTGTTCTTTTACTCACTGACGAACAAAAACGTTTTTTTTTTGTGGTGGGACGTGTGTTTTGAACATTTTGAGTTTAATTACATATATATCATATTTAATTATAGAATGGCGATTTTTTTTTTTGTAAAAGAAATACTTTTTTGTAAAAAAAAAAGAAACCGAAAAGTCATCGTACAACTGAGTAATTTGCTCGTCAATTGACTTGATATCTTTACTTATTGAAATGAGCAATTCCTCTGTTGTTTTCCACTGCCATTTACCGGTCACTTCTTCGACTGTGCCTTGGTGTCCCTCATTTTTTAATATTTCAGACGCTATATTTTTTTATTTGTGAAATTTATTGTTCTTTAAAGGATGCAAATGAAAATAAAAATAGTGGAAGAATTTTTTTGGTCTTCTATAAAATTTGTTTTTTTGCTGAAGTAAGTTGAATAATAATTGACATGAAACTAAAAAAATTTGAATAAAACCTTTTTTTAGGAGTTTTTGTCTCTCTTCTGGATAATCGCAAAGAAGTTCAGAAACATCGTCTTGTTTTAGAACGCTAACATCAACATATCCGCATGAACGTATCGACGTTGAATGCTTATTGTTCGTTAAGTTCATTATTGCTAATTGACCAAGAACTGATCCTTCATTGAGCATTTTTAGCACGATTTGTCCATCTTCGCTTATTTTATTCACTTTTCCACTTTTAATTATATACATTTCCTTAATAAGATTACGTCGATTCATCAATAACGCTGTCAAAAACAAGTTATAAGGAATTCAGTAAGTTCAAGAGGCCTATGAGTTCAAGTTTTCCGAATTGACTTGAATCAAGGCACTTAATTTATTATAGATGGGGATAGAATGGCTCAATGGATTGTTGCTTAATCGGGGGCGCCAATGCTGAGGTTCGATTCCCCACAGGAATAAACGTACAAAAATCCGAGTGATGCTGGCGACTCACCTGTATTTCTATCGCCAACGGACTCCCTGGCATATTTCCCAATGCGACAAGCCAGTGGAGTGAGTTTAATAATGGTGAGGACTCTTTAAAAAAAAATTTTTATTATAGATATCCAGCTAAAACTTTATTTACTTTTGCCACTTCTCCTTGACGGCATAAATAGTCGTTTGGATTGAACAATTGAAACTGCATTCTCATTGCCAATTCATAAAGTAATCTTTCTTCACAGTCCTAAAAAATTTTAAATTTTTACTTATATTAAGAATTTCTTTCTTCTTTGCAAAAACCTCGGTCCGTTCTTTTTCACACTACAGCTACACAACAACTACAACTCTCTGAACGGTTAGTAAAATATGGTATAATAATGGTGTGTCTGTTAAGGCTATTAGGGGTCTCCTTGTAAAAAGGAAGATTCTTTGAAGCCAAATACAACTCCGATGCACCATGTCCTGGAGATAGCTGAGTCGTTTGTCGAACCATTTGTAAATGCCAATAACCGCCAGCAGAAGAGGAAATGATCCTTATCATTTAGAATCACTTGAGGTCAACAGGAACCTCGGAGAAGATGATCTTTGGGCTGAAATTGTTAAATCATAATCAAACAACTTCAACAAGTATACTTGCTATGGAAGAAAGAAACAATACCAGATGACTTGAGCAAAACAATTTTGTTCCCAGTTTCCAAGAATGGCGACAAGAAAGTGACAATTTTCGAGGAATCAGCGTATTGGATATATTCGGGAAAATTTTTGCTTCCATTCTACTCAATGGATTTATGGCAGTACGAGACAGCAGGATATGCTCTAATCAGGCTGGGTTCAGACCAGAACGCGGTTATGCTAACCAATTCAAATTAAGGAGAATATTGGAACATCGTTTCAAATATCCCACTATCACTTGCTTTCGATTCATTTGATAGAGTTGCGTTTTGCGGGGTGATAGGATGTGATGCTATTCCAGAGAAGACCAATCGATTCATAAAGGCATTTTACCAGCCTATATGAGTATAGATCTATTCATGAATATATGAGGAACTGCTCTTTCGAAATGAGAATTGGTTCACCAAGGCTATGTTCTTTTCTTCAATAATCAATTGTGCAATGGATTATATAGTGAATACCGACATTTAAGAGGAATATGCAAGTCAGTACAGAGTATAGTACAATAGATTGTGAATATGCTGATTATGTAGTTCTTTTTGCTGATAGTTAAAAAATGTGTCGATAACTGCACATAAATCTGACTCATGAATGTAATTAATATAAAAGTAAATGTAAAAGTAGAAGCAAAAATATTTTCGTCTTTTTCACACATCACACGCTGAATATTTTTATTATTTCATCACTCGTTAAGGAAGTGCAAGAGTTTAAATATCACAAATCCACTCTATTCCCAAACGACCAAGAGAAATACGAAATTGTAGCTCGGATAACGCACCTAGAAGTGGGTTCTTCTGGTTGCCGAAACCTTCATGAATCTATCACGAAATCAACATCAAAACGAAAGTCTATTTAGCTGCGATTCGCTCGATCTTATTATTATTTATCTGCTAATCATAGCTAATGAGAGTGAAGGAGTTATGTTGTCTTTGTCCAATTATGTCTAAGATTTATTTTACTAATTCGCTGAGCGGATAAATCTCGCATCCGCTTTCGCTCAAATACCGCTTTTAGTAACAATCATAGAGCATCGTCTTCGATGTTTTAGGGCACGTCACCTACCACAGAAGTTGACATATTTCGTTACTTGCTGTGACCCTGTGACGGATGGCTTCAAAAGTGAGAAGGGCCAATCAACACCTGGATTGGCATAGTCAGAAAAGATTTTGAATGTAACCAGCAGTATATGGATTTAGACTATGGAAGAAGGAATTGTTTTTATCAATGATGGCATCGGATCGAAAAGCTTGGAAATGTTCTCGATTCTCACCGTTGTAGTCAGCGGAATCAGCGGAACCAGCCTAATCAATAATGGTAAAAAGAAGAAGAAATTTATCAACCATGATTGCTTTGTACTTTTGTATATGAAATTTTAAGCTGTATAGATTTCTTCTTTATTAGGATATTCTTTATTCATTTCATCCTAATCGCTTACAATTTTTTAGCTTAAAAGAGTTGTTAATTGTGTTAATTGTGTTATTGTTCATTGTTAATAAAACTTCTTTTAAATGTCGCTGCCACATTTATATAATTTATGATAACTGAGACTGTAGTGGAGAATATTTCTTGCTTATTTTGATTTGCACGACTTCTATTTTTTTGCAGGAATTTTAAACTGAACAATGGTTTACCTTGAATAATTCGACATTTTTTAGTGCGTTTAAATGAATATAAGCAGCAAATTGCATTTGTAGTCGTGGTGACAAATCTAATAATACCTATAAGTGCATTGAAAAATTTTCAATAAAACTACTCAGGACAACAAAGTTGAATTAAATTTTTTCAATTTTCAATGCTGCAAACTGCGAAATTTCAAGTTAGAATTCATTCGAGAATATTTAAATATTAATATACTTTTTCATCCTTATCCAGCCCTTGCTCGTACATATATTGGCAGCAATTTAAAACCCGAAATTGGATGCTGGGATCCACTTGTCTAAATTCCATAATTACCGGTAATAAAACTGATTAGAGCAAACGTGAGTTTGTTTCATATGGCTTTATAAGGTAAATAAAACTGGAATGACCTATATGTCATGTAAAACTTGATCGCATCCAATAAGCATTGAAATTCAGTTTGATCGCGGTGCATTGCTGAAACAACATTGCCAACCGAACCAACAATTATGGCAAATATCAGCAAACCGATCAAAGTATCAACGATTTCGAAAAAATCTTGCAAAGATGTTTCCGGACTTGGCTTAAATAATTGTTCAGATATGAAATCTTATAGTCGCTTTAAATCTTTTGTCAACCATGTAAATAGATATTTTTTTATTTAAAAATTTTTTTCACTATTGGTTAAAAGGGAAAAAAAACGTTTCCCTTTTATTAATAATGCATTTTCATTCATATTTCGACAGGGTACCTGCTGTCCTTTGGTTGTTAAAGTCATTGATGACCAGTAGATGCTTAAAGCATATTCTCGGACAAAATTAGGAACATATAAAACAATAGATCTGAAAAGCTATGCTATGAAATTTTCTGAAGTTAGCTCGAGGCTTATGCATCTTGAAAAATTGAAAAATTAAATTAACAGCACTATGATAAGAAAGATAATCAATGTAAAAAAGAAAAAACTTCTTACCTTGGTTGCCAGTATTGCATCATTTTGTCGATGTATTCCATACGATCTTGTACGTCGAGGCCTGTTTCATTGAATCCACATTCCCCATCATAATTTTTTAATGATATCTTACATGTTGGTACAACAGGATTCGCAACTTTCGTGTATGTGAAGTGCCAAACGGCTATGTCGTTTGTCATTGCTATAATCCATTTCAATTCATAATTTTCTCACATTTTCAATCATCGAATCAAGATTTTTTACTATTTGCTAATGTTTCAGTTATATTTGGAAATATTCGAAACCTTTAGTTGCACTTTGAGAACTTATAAGAAGATAGATGCACGCATTCCAGTGAAAAAGCATTATACACGTTCCAATAAGTTTTAAAATTCTAAAAACATTTGGTCTACTTGATCGCATTAAAGTCCAATCAGCAAATTCAAATAAACGATAAACTTTTAGAGTTCGGTTTATTCGAATATACGATTCTTTTGACCAAATATTCAGCAAATAGTTCACCGGAAATATTGAAAAAATGTCCAGCCAAATTGTGCAGCTAAAATGCAAAAAGTTCATAAGCATAGATAACTAGAAATAGTGGTACTAGTTTAGATATTTTGCGTGAGATAAATTAGCCTCCTCATTTCCTTCATATATCGTATTTGGGTTAAATATATGATATCGGACTTAGTTGATCTTGTATAAACTGTGGGTAGCCTTTTTCAAATGTTTAAATGCATCAGACAAATTCTGCAGTACTTTTTAAAGATATCTTTTCATACCTGTGAAGATATCGTTTCGCCAAGACTTTAATATTTGTAACAAAAGCACCGTCATTCAAATAACCTAAAATCGTGGATTTTTTAAGACATTTTGTTTTTCTACTTTATTTTATTTTTATAATTTAACCTACTTATTCGCGTTTGTACGAAAATATCAATGCAGTAAATCACATCAGCAATATAATCGAGGATTATCCGATAACCGAGAAAATTATCAAACATAGCGCCGAAAATAAAAGTTGGTATAATTATAAGATTATAAATGCAAGCTAACGACACAGCGCTAATCCAATAATACAGTTTACTAGATGTTGGCTTTATTGTGAATGAAAGCAAAATTCTGAAAGGATCAAATTAGAGCTTTGATTTTTCGAATGAAATTTTTACGAGATGGCGGTAGAAGACCGAAATCTCTTTTTTCCATTTCAATTTACAGGTAAATAAGTTTTTGAAGGTATTTCGTCTCAAGCAAATACCATAAAAAATAACTCATGGATGCGTCGTTATCTCTTGCTCAGTCGGTGGCTTAAATCGTGTATAATTGCGAATAAACTGAAATGATTAGTGATTTTGCTCATTTTATGAGAATTTCTTTCAGAAATTTTTTTTAAAAAGCTTTTTCATTCTTACTTAATTTTAGCCCAAAGCCGCATCGGAAAAGTCCGCTGTGATTTCGCTTTTTTCCGATTCAAAATTAATTTTAGATGAATTCGGAATGCGGTAATGTCGTAATGTTTTGTTTTTTATGCAGCAAATAAGCTCTTCATAAATATGTCCGTACTTTGAAAGCAATTTCCAACCACCTTAAACGATTCATTTTTTACTTTTAAATTTTATAAATTTGTGATAAATGATGCGATTTTTACGAAATAACTGACCTCGTTGACGGTTAAACAAAGTTCTGACTCTGTTGACCTTGGTCAACTGTAGAAATTTCCATTTTTTTTGATTTTTTTGATCATATCTAAACAATAATGAAAAGAAAATTTCAATTCTCTTTAATTTCTTTGCACTTATTTTTTACGATCATTTATTAAAATCGCATTTGTATCACAAAATATATTTTTTCTGCGAAGAGCAATAATCCATAAATGTCGTTTTTTCCTTGATAAGTTTAACTTCCTTTTGAAATTTTTTTTTCGATTATTAGAAAGAAAATATAAAAATGGCACACGGATTTCACTTAAAGATTTTGTTATTTACAAGTGTGATAATAATAATATTATAATTCATCTTTTTTCCACCTAACTTCGCACACCATTTTTGAACTGGTTGGCTTAATTGATTATGGTAAGGGAGTAAGATGTAGAGATAAAAATACAAATAGATTGCAAGCAACCTGCAGGTATTGGTAAATTTCTGAAATCCATACATGTTTTGCTACTATTGCTATCAAGGGAAAGATGGAGCCCTTGTGGCTCACCAAGGGCAACAATGATTTAACCAGTGGGTGCATCACGTAAAATCATACCTATGAACCAAATTTTAACAATTTTCATCTTATCAAATGATTTTCTAATAAATATTTCAACAATGGTAAAGAAAATGCGAAACCAAATTTTATTCTATGAAAAAGGAGTGCAAAAAAATGAACAAAACTAGAATGAAGTGTGATAATCGAAACAAGGAATGTTGGAATGAATGAATCGCATTGTTTGAGCAAATTTTGTTTATTCATTATTACCTTGGTGATGAGGAAAAAGATTCGTAACTCTCCTAACTCAGTCGATTGCTGCCTATGGAAAAGAGGCTTTCTTCTAATTGTAGACTGAACAATCATGTGCATCGAACTTATTGCTTTCATCTCATTAATTTTTGCAAAGAATTTTTATAAGCAAAAAACTTAGATTCTTAAAGCTTAAAGCGATAGCTGAGACTTTAAGCAATAACCATTCGGCTATTTTACCACCCTTTCGTGATGAATAGCGCTACACTACTGTAGATTTTGTTGATTATGATTGTGCGGATTCAAATAATTTTTTGATATCCCTTTGAATATCCCTTGAATGCTCTGTCACTTTTTCGTTCAGAGATGCACAAATATAATTTCATGAAATCTATTAACCAAAAAAGGAAAGAAATACGGAATCACTAGTTCGTTTACTTACAAAACGAGTAAGGTCATTATCATTTAAGAAAGATCAATGTTGAAGAAGATTAATTTTTGCAGGAAGGTCATCGCATGTCATTGTTTCATTGTTTCGATTGTGATTGTTGTATATAATCTATTACGATATTTTTCACTGAGGTGACATATAAACGTTTCCTCATCGTACACTTTTTTGAAGTCGTAAAGATTTCTCTTATTTGAGGCATGACTGGCAGAAATTTATAGGGTAAGCTGGCCATGTTGTTTCCTTTGAAAGCCAGTTGTATGGCTTCAATTTCCTCCTTACCCTTCGATGTAACTATTCAATGGAATTTGGATGGTGATAGGCACTCATAGTTTACGATAATTGCTTGGCTCTCACTCTAAAAAGACGCCAGTTGAGCAAGTCTTCTGATGCGTGCTATTTGTCATTGGGACCAGAAATGTTACTGGAGAAGAAAGTTGGGAACATTGGTGGATAGGACGGCCATAATTTTTTTTTTTAATGGTTCATTTAAAGAAATTAACAAAAAATAATGCATTGAGTTATGTGTGCACATTTAATCTTTCATGGACTGCATGAAATTTTCATTTCTGTGAATTTTTCTCAGTTCGATTTAATACCTTTTGCGAGGAATTTGCACTTCCAGTAAATTAATTTAGTAAAACGAAGGCAAAAAAATATTTTGTGGCAAAAAGTTATCGATTTAGATGAAAATTGAAGAACGAGCGAATTGCAGCATTCGGGTCATTCACCGCAACACAACACACCACAACATCAAATATATATTTATATATTTCTTCTCATTAGCATATTTGCTAGTCTCAGTTATTCTGCATCTTTTCTATATTATATCTTCGATTATATTTCCTCTTTTATAAATTTTCCAATAATTTTCATTCGTCATTCTTCGTTGAATTTATTCTTTATTCGCGAATATATTTATTTACAAAATAACTTTTTGTTTGTGCATTATTCATCGAAATATTTTACAAAAAATGGTCGGAAAACCGAGGTTATTTTTGTTATTTTTTAGATTCGTTTTTTACTTATTTTTTGAATTTATGAATTTTCTAAATTCTAAATTACGTTTAGCGAACTAAATTTTATTTACTTTCCTTTTAATGTATTATTTTTATTCGTTTATTATAAATTTTCCAATAATTTTCATTCGTCATTCTTCGTTGAACGTTTATTTTAGCTGAAAGAATAACTTATAACTTCAGAATAATTTATTTTTTACATTTGAATAGGAAATAAAAATGAATAAAAATATTTCACTGCTGCTGTGCACTCGTAAACCACTCGTAATGTAATTTTCGATAATGCATCAGCTTTATCGAAAATTAAATTTTTATATTCATGAAGATGGGACTTAACGATTCTTTAAGGTGTGATCGAGACGATTAAATCTTTGCTTATGGTCGTCAGTTCATTTTTATAGTTAGAAAATCCATCCACAGAATTTAATATACGAATATCCTTTGGAATTTATTTATCGTTTAAGATTTAATTTTGATTTCATCAGTTAAATTCAATCATTAATATTTGAAATATTCAAAATGTTTGAAATTTAAAAAAATTTTGCTTTTTTAGCAAATATTATAGAAACATATTACAATTTTAGAGTGATAAATTATTAAGATAAATCTTTAGGTATGCTCAAGATGAAGTGCTCCAATATAATCCGTTATCACAAGATGAAGATTATTGCATTCCGTCGACTTCGTCTTGCAAAAATACAGAATATATTCGCTGGTTTGCGATTGTACAATTATGTTAAAATATTTTTTTTTCATTTCAATGAAAATTTGAAAAAAAACAATTATTTGTTCATCACATCATTATTTATCATAAAAAGTTTTGTATCAAATTATTAGAATTGGCTTTTTTCGGTAATAATTACAATATGTAAAATAATTATTTCAGTCAGTTATCATTCGAAGATCCACAAATGGATAAAAGTCATCGCCAAACAAATGAAATAATGTTTGAAGTAATGTTAATTCGAATTTAAGCTTATGCATATTTAATTGAATTTGAAAAAGAGAAAAAAACTTTACACAAAAATACAAAAAAAACTTGGAAAATTATTTCATCTTTTAACAGCTATTTTAGATATTTAAAAGCTAAAATTGTTAATGAACCTAATAATTACAAGAAATTTTTAATCAGTGAAATTGTTTAGGTTAATTATTTATTAATATAATTCTTTTTAATTCACTTTTTAAGAGTCCTCACCTACTGGTTAAACTCGCTCCACTGGCTTGTCGCATTGAGCAATATGCCAAGGAGTAATGTGCCAGAGTCCCTTGGCGATAGAAGTACAGTACAGGTGAGTCGCCAGCATCACTCGGGTTTTTGTGCAGGTTTACTCCTGCGGGGAATCGAACCGCAGCTTCGGCTGCTCCAAATTGAGCAACAACCCACTGAGCCATCCTATCCCCTAATTAATTAATTAATTAATTAATTTAATTATATTAAATTTATATGACAAAGGTTAATTAGAATTATCTTTAGATCTACGATTATTTGACATTAAAGTTGGAAGCAATGTTCAATGGGCAACTGGTAAGATTAAATTTCGATTTCGCTTTAATTAGTTAATTCTGAATCGTAGTGCAAGATGGTGAGGGTTTTCCAGTTAGTATTAAAAGATAAAACTTTTGCAAACTTTATCGTTCAAATATGAAATTTTTCTTTAAATTTTTTGTCTGAGCTTTACTGTAAAATTATAGTTGTTAATTATTATGGCTGAAAAAAATCTCTAAATTTATAAAGTCGAAAGGTCCCTTTTTTAAAGAAACTCTCTGCTGGATTCTCTCAATATTTAAACATTATTTTAGAATGAATTATGATTTTCACTAAACAGGCGGGTGGATTTTCTATAATTTGAATTGACAGGAGCGATTTCCAAAATTGTTCACTAAAGAATGGGATGATCACTATTCAACATTTTATCCTGAAAATGATCTCCGAGAACGACGTCGTGCAATGGAACTTGAATTGGATTGTGATGAGGTATGCGAAAATTAATTCAAATAAAATTTTCATTCATTTATTTACGCTTTATTCATTTTAAGAATTTGTTTTTTAGTTTCTTTTTTAAAGATGGAAACGAACTATTTCAGAGAGAAAATGTACAGTTTATATAAATTTGTATAGCTTGGTAAAAACAAAGAATTATAGGATTCATTCAAGAATTCAAGAATTATAGGATAGAATTATAGGAATCATAGGATTATATATAGTTTAATTGCTAAGGCGTACGATTAATTTGGAATATAACAATGATTCGGATCGCGTCCCCTTGGGCAAGGCCATACCATTCAGGGATTTTATACATATTTATATATATATGGTTGTAAATTTAAGCTAAATTCATTTGAAATTGATGGTGCAAATTTAAGCAAAAAGTTAAATATTTCGGTTTACATCTAAGGAAAAGAAACCAAAGAGATGCACAGAATGTTAGCAAATATCATGCGTAAGTGTCAGTGGAAATTTATTTAGTTATTTAATAAATATCTTTTATTCAAATGATTCGTTTAAAGTTATTTGCTTTTAAAATATTTTAGATTCGTTCGGAGACATCCGATGACCGAAGTAATGGGAAAAAAGATAAAAAAATTGAAGTAAATTTATTCCATTTTTCGTAATTATTCGATTTTTCTTTAAACAAAACAAATTTAATTAATTCTCCTATTCTTCGTTAATATTCCTTTTCGTTTTATTCAAATTTTCAAAATATTTAAATTTCGAATAAATTTACAGTGATATTTAAGCCTTTAGAAAAATTAAAATTGTCGATAAATCATCTTATTTCGATATTTTATTTTTAAAAATTAAAATTAAAACAAAGTTTAAGAGGAAAAGTCCTTTTTCTCCTAATTTTTCAAAATTCTATTTCTGAAAAACGAATAATTTTTATAGTATTATTAATCAAAAAAAATTTAGCTTGATGAACGTATTCGAAAACGCGTGCGCCGTGGTGATCGGGCAGAAAAAATGAAAAAAGTGAAATACGTTTAAAAAAAATTATTGCTGATCTCATTCACTTTGTGGTGCTGCAATATTTGAAATATTTTTATTTTTATATTTATTATTAAAATATTTTCAATAAAAATTAAGATTTATTTATATAAATGTGCAAATATATTACAAAGTACAAATATATTAATATGTCTAGCAAATCTCGATTTCAATCATTCATTGATTTCGTAAATTTTAAATAATTTTCCGGTATAAAATATCTGTAACGCATTATTCTCAAAGTCTTACCATTTTAGCTTTATTCTTTTCATTCTTAAAGGATTGGAGAAGTATCGGATGAACAAATGAATTCATTCAGTGTCATGCTTCCAAGGTGGTAGTATATCGTCGTTTAATGGTTTTTATTCATTTTGCTTGTTCCCCTCCCCACCTATTTTTTTATTTTATTTGACAGTTTCATTATTTCATAACTAATGTGTAATGAATATTCAAATAAATTGTTTTTTTAAATAAATTACTAAACGAAAAAATATTTTCATATCGCTTATTTGAAATATAGAAACATTTTCAAATAATTAATTTAAAAAAGTATGAATTCTAAACATAGCTTTTTTATAAGAAGTTTCAGTTAAAATAAATGATTAAAAATATCCTTGGAAAATATTGGATTCATTTTTTTCAATATTTGTGCTGCATACAGTCCTTACCACTTCTTCTTTGGCTTTTTTTAAGTACATATTTCGTCTCTTAATTCTTTTCAGCTGGATGAGGCCATGTACAATTATAAATCATTCCGATTTAAATAGCATTATAAACTGCTAAAAAAATTTAACTTCTTCTTTTATAAATATTTTCGTATCTTATCGATTAATGACTAACTTCTGTTGTTTGATAATTTATAATAATATTTGGCGAGTAGAAGATTATCACCGTATTTAGCGACATGCTTTGTCATTATTGACATTTTCTTATCTATAATTATTAAGGCTTTATTGATATTTTGTCCAAAGAAGCTTATCTGTAATAACATTTACGGTAGAATCAATGAATAACAAATTATTATTGTTAAGGGCGATGAAAACAGGTTTCTGGATCATCATTAATTAACTAATTAGTGTTAACTATTTCCGCTATCAAAATAGAACAAGCATTGATTTAATCAAAATATGGAAAATTAGAGTTTTTTTGTGTATAAAAGGGTTTGAAGATTTCTCTTTAAAATTATTTTGTAGTAAATTAAATAAATAATAAATATAAAAAATATCTTTTTATTGGAAAATATAAATTTTACGAAGTTTTTTGAAATATTTGTGAAAATTTAAATGGAAAATTTTTCCTTTATTTTTATATATTTATGAAACAATTGATTGCTATTAGTTTTAATGTTTCATAAATTAAATGATTATTTTATAGAAAAAATGAATGAAAAACTGGCAATAGAATTACAGTGATTTCATAAATCTATTTGTATTTTCATTTCTGTGTAAAAATTAAAAATCATATGATTTTAAATAGTTTCTTTTTTAATTTGATATATTTATTTTCGTTTAATAAAATTGTTTAAACGATTTTTTTTACTCTTTTTTCTACTATTTATTAATTTATTTATCTCTTTATTAAATTCTTCACTTATTTATTTTAATATATTTATTAAAAAAGTTATTAATAAATGAAATATTTAACTATAAGCAATTATTATTCAATTAGTTTTGGTTGCAATTCAGCTTTTCATTCTGAATATTTTGGAAAAAATGATTTTTTAAAAAATTTATCTATACAATTTTCTTCATTCTCATACATCAACAAGTGAGAATAAGTAATTGGTTAGCGGCCACCATTTCTGTAAGCTCCCTTGGTTGTTAATACGTTTAGAAATTTTAATCATTTGCCAAAGAAGTCACCAACATCACCTGGACATTATATTTTAATAGAAAATTTTGATTTTATTCGCATATCTTTTAATGTATAATAGCCCCACTTCAATTTTTAATTTATAAGAGTATTTTAAGAATGTTCATCTCATTTTTTTTTCAAACTGTCCTGGAGAATAAAAGTTATTTGTTTAAAACAACAACGAAAAATTATATTTCAATAACTTCAGTAAAAAATTCGACAAAAATATATGATTTGGAGTGGTTGATTAGTGTGCAGTTAAGTTGATATAAAAACATTTATGTTTAATATATTCTGGAATTAGCAGATGGTTACCATTCCCCAGGCAGTTTGTTTCCTTGTTTCCGGTATTTAACACTCCTAATAAAATGGCGATTATGAATTAGCGCATCAGAAATAGGTTTGCGGCTTGATACTATTGTCTCCGGCAAAATCGTGATTCGATTTTGTGATTTCAATACTTAATCTAAATAGATGAATAAAACCGAATAATTATTTTATTTTACAGCTTATTATTAAGCTGTTTAACCACTGCCTCAGTGCAAAAAAATTTTTAATCATGAATAATAATGATAAAATAAAAGTGATAAAAGAGAAGTGATATAAATAAAAGTGATAAAAAAATAATTTATGTTTCATTCCTAAACAATGATTTTTCCACGATTTGTGGTTGGCCTACTTTATTTCTATAGTATTTACTTACAATGGCCATTTCTATTCAATGCAAGTAAGCAGACTTGATTTATATTCTTGAAAAGTTGAGACTTAAGCAAGAAATTCTGCGAAAAGGTTGATAAAAATATATTTTTTATTTTATTCTCATATAAATGAATTTTTTTACTTATAATGCCAAGCATGTAAGAAAAATAAGCGAGTGGTTTGTAAGCAAGCAAGTTAGTGCTGATCATTTCTGGTTCATTTCTGGTCAAGTTAGCTCCGCTGGTTGTTACTGTAGTTGGAAATCTTTGCCAGGAAGTCATTTAGAGATAGGTGGATTGCCAACATTGTTTAGATTTACTCTCGGAGAAAGATTTCAAACCTTTGCTGACATTTTTACCAATGCTGACATTTAATTTGTTGTCTAATCGGCTATTTGAAAATGTATAAAACTGTAAACCACCAAAATATAAAATTAAATTTTAAAAACGGAATTTAAAAAGAATTTTGATATAGAATTCAATCGTTTGAAAAAAAATTTATTTTACCATTATTAATGATTAATGAGATTGTTTTCGTGTTAGGCTAAGCAATATTTTTATTTTAAAAATTTCGGCAAATGAAAGAAAATTCTAATGATTAGAGTTGGGAATGATTTTATTAATGATTTTAATGATTTTATTTCTGAATAAAATTCAAGACTTTTTTGAAATGTTTTGAAATGAGTGTAATATGCGTGTTGATGATTCTTGATAAGTTTTAGATTTGTTGAAATAAAAAATAAAGAATTTGCTGAAAAAAGAAGCTTCGCTTTTTTTCATATTTTTTCGTAATAATTCATTAAAATAAATGAAAAATAAATGGAAAAAAGTATAATTTAAGTCTGTTAAAAGTTTCCATTCCTAAAATTTTTCTTGTCGATATACAAATTGAACTCTCAAAAATTTTTTTTTTAATAAAAGGATCTAAGAAAAAATGTATAACTGAGAGGTTGGAATGCAGTGAAATTTCTGCGCTCGACTATAGAGTAAGTCTATTTTTCAAAATCGAGTGGTTGCTAGCTACCCATCTATTTTTCTAATGGTAAAATTTGCTTGATTCGACAAGAAAACGAGGCGAGTCTACCAGAAACTGGTAAATGCTCTTCCAAAGGGAAAAATAACAAATTACAGAGCATGGAAGCCGATGGAAAAGCAGAATTTGAACCTAATTTCGAAATAAGCTAGGCTGGTACAATATATGGCCGTTGTGCTCTGGTATCCCAAGGAACAATTATTCTTATTCCCTACTTCTTTTCGTCGAGTAAATAACTCAACTAATCATTATTGGAACAGAAACAATCTATTTCGTAAAATTTTTAAAAATTTTTTACCCTATGACATATACATTAATTTTATTTTCTTCATAAATTATTATTTTTGATTGTTAAACTACAAAACATATTTAAGCTAAATTTAAATATTTTATGGCTTATATTTAAATCTATATCGTTTAGATATATAAATTACGCATAAATATAAGTTAGCATTTCTCATTTTGTGAGGTCTTTGGCTTTTTTTAGTTTATCTTAGGCTCGAAATTGAGCAGCTTTTTCCCCAGGAATAAAGTAGAAATTTTTTTTATAAAAATGTTTCCTTTAAATTTCGTCCACATCTATATAAAATATAGATTTCTTCCACTAACTATAATAAATTAATCAAATTAATTGAGGAATATTCTGGAATTTTTTTTATATCGCACAAAATCTGATCACTTATTAATATAGTTTAGATATATATATATGTATATATTCTCGATTGATTTCAACTCTTTATCGATAAAATTCTGTTGCTTAATTTATAATACAAGCTTATATTAAATTAAACAATTTTATTTATGATGAATACAAGTTCTATTTTATTTGCGATGAGTACCAATTCTGCCGGAGACAGAATTATCGACTGAATTATGAAAATTGAAAACTGACCAATTTGTTAGACTAACATCTTGCATCTCACTAACTTTTGTAATTGGAAGCATAGATTATCAAATGATATTTTTATTTTTATTAATTCTTACCTTTATTGATTGTTATATCTCCGGGTGATGCGTGCAAATCACTTGTATTTCTGTACTTCTATCGCCAAGGGATTTCCTGGTGTATTTGTTTAGTGCGACAAGCCAGTGGAGCGAGTTTATAATATATTTTATAAACGGCTATCAGCTAGCATATCGAATCCATTCTATTGTCCTCTTTAAATTCTTTATGAAAAACTTCTTCTTGTGAACTTGAGCCTAAATTTTTTTTATATTACATTAATATTAATAAATATTAATAAATTAATTTTCATGAATATAATATAGTTTTTGCTACAATTTTTATGGCATACAATTAATGATTTTAAGAGAAAATATTTTTTAGCAATAATTTCAGCAATTTTTTTTACTGCCTTTATTAATAATGAATGAAAATTGTCGCATTTCCAGTCACATCATCAATCTTCAAAAATTTCGATATTTCTATCGATTTTAACAGAAAACCATCGAAAAGAAATAAGAATTATGAAAAGATACGAAATTTTTTTCAAACATTCGTTTTTTTAAATCATCATTTCCCCGAAAAAAATTGCTTTTTTCAAATATGTATATTTTTTTAAAAAATATTTATATATTTATATTATATTTACTTTTTATTATATTTACGTTGACAGGAAGACAGGAACATCAAGAAGAATATGAAAATTAGAGAAACATCAAAGGCTGAAAGAGAGACGTAGGAAATGAAGGCCAAAGTGGTCTCAGTGGTAGTAGGGATTATAAGACCTAAATTGGAAAAATGGGTCTAGAGTGGGTCCAGAGATCTCTACTCAGAAGAGCGCAGGAATACTTAAAATACTGAATAAGATCTCCAAGTTCCCACTCCACTGATCTTAATCCTTATCATTCGACCAGAAAGGAATTTATATTTATTATATATTTAAGCAATATATATTTGAATAAAGCAATATATATTTATATAATACACATATACCACATATAAATATATATATATATATATATATCACAATGGTCTTCGCTCGATATATATTACTGCATGCATATTTCACGTGAAAACACTGTCTGTTGAAATAGACAAATTGATAGGATGGAAAATATTTCGTTTTACGAAGATGACAGAAAATTAGAAAAATTTATATAATACGTAATGTAATGATAATGCAGCAATGATTGCTGCGAAAATATTTGGATGAAAGGTGTGCTTCGTTCAGTGATATATGATATGATAAAGAAGAGTTGTTGGCTGATGATGAGCGCTTTCATTTGATAATATTTTATTTGATGTTGATAATAACTTAATGCGATGATCATAACTAACTGATGTTGATTAACCTTTTTCTTGCTCAAAACTTTTATTTAAGCAATAGTTTTCGATGAAAGTAAATTGAATACTCGCATCGCTTACTTAATTTATACTTTTTTCACTGTGTTCTACTGAAATGTCTGAAATGTTTAATTAGCAGAGGCAAATTTTTCCTCAGTTTCAGTTCGTTATTCCCTTTTCATAATTTTTTGAAATTTTTTCGCGCAAAATTCTTCATATAAATACTGTTAAAAATATAGAAAATTTTCATATTTCCGAGTAATCAACCAATTTAATGTCAATTATTAAGGTTTTAAATTGAATTTTTATTCTTATCATAATCAGTACAATACATTAATCTTCTATTTTGTGATAACTTTAATTTTTAAGCAGATTGTTATTGGCAGTTAAATAAATATTAATAAATGGATTAATAGTTTTATGATAAAATTTTTCTACTATTTTTATATATCATATAAATCGCATAATATTCAATTGCATTTGAATAGAAGGTTTTATAAAATTATACGTTCGTAAATAAAGTAAATTTGTAAACTGTGGGAAAAGTGTGGGCCAAGATAAATGCCAATCGGTGCATCGTTGAATGTTTCATCGAATCACCTGGGTATTCTATAATGGCTTAATGGTACTCTGATAGCTTTGGCCTGCGTTATTTCAATACATTTCATTTAGAAAATTCCATTCATAAAAAATAAAATTTTTCTTAGCCATTAAACGCTTAACTTCCTTACTTACTTATATATACTTATACAGAAATGATTTACTATATTATAGTTCGAAATAAATAATTAAAAAAGAAAAATTATCAATGGTTATGTTGAGTAAAAAATATGACATTTTAGACTCCGTTGTTTTAATTTTTCTTGGGATATTCTTCCAATTTTTCAACAATTTCCATTAGTTCTTGAAAAATATATACTAAATAAACCATTATTCATCTTAATTCTTAATCATTAATCATTATTGAAAATGAGTAGGAAACATGAAATTTAAATTTTAGATTTTAATGAGGATTAAAATTATTTTTTTCCGTTATTATATATGTATTTATAAAAGGTAAAAAAATAGCATTCGTTCCATGAAGTAGAATTATTTTTATCACCCACCATACGTATGTCCTAAATTGGAACGCGCAAGATTTGCGGAGACTTTTTAATGCGAAAATCGTTCTCTCACCGCAATCTGCCTTTAAACTGGATCTTCCCGCTATAGCGACGAATTTCGGCAATATGGAAAAATGACTTAAATGAAATCAATAAAGAATCTGAAATGCGATCGTTTGGTTACAAATCTATTGAAGAGGGAATTTCCTTGTCAAATGCTGAGTATGAATTAAATTTTTGGTTTATATTTAATATTGATATTCATTCATCTTAATTCTTATTCATTTAGCTGTACACTCAAATGCTATTTGGAAAGCATTTTTCTCTTTGGAAAATCCGATTATTGGCATTTTAAAAGATGAGTATCACCACGTGAGTTTATGTAACAATTGTAAATTAAGAATCTGCAACAAGTTGGATGGAGTAGATTTAAACGTAGTAGAGAAAGGTGTTAGGGAAAGAATAGATTATAAATAAGACAATGCGAGATGGAAGATGAGAGTCATATAAGTGATGGAATAGCTGGTATCGCAATTAGATGAAGGATGAGATGGTGCGGAGGGATTGGGTTGCGGTGGAGAAGGAAGAGAGAGCAGTAGGAGAAAGAGGGATAGGAAAAGAAGAGAAAATATCATTATCATATATTTTTCCATATATTTTCATTATTATTTTTTTATTTTTAAAAAAATGAAAAAGACAAACACTTCATTCAGTACACATTGTACAACATAATGTCTCGCAAACGCCGCCAGACTGCGATCTATTATATAAGTAGGAAAGAAACTGTCTTTACTCATTCTTAATTTTTTATTGATATGATCATATCATTGGTACCATTTTGGCATCGTTAGTGATTAGATGCTACTATAAGATGGTAAAATAAACCAAGTTTTCAGTTTTGAACCAGTTTTAATTTTTTTTTTGAAGCAATTTGTAATTTTTTATTTTTTTATAATCAAATAGGAATTTTATTATCCAACCACTTATTTAAATGACTCAAAGTTTGATCCTTTAAAAATGATATAGCGCATTGGGTTGTAATTTAAAAATTAATGTTATTCCAAAATGATGCAGCTTTTATACTTGCAACGTGAAGCATGAGTGGCTCAGTGGGTTATTGCCTTCATTTCCGAGTGCCGGTGATGGAGCTCTAATCTCGGCAGAAACGAACCTGACTTTCAAAAATATTAGTGGGTTGTACTGGCTATTTATATCATACCACCATGAAGACATTCTTTAGGAAAGTTTGGCTCGTCCGACAAATTAACCGGGCGAGCCTAACGGGGAACTGTGGATCCACTAAGAAAAAAATATAAAATTTTAAATTTATCGAGAAAACCATTAGTTTTTTCTTTTCATTTAACCACAAACTAGCTTTTTATGCTTATAAAATGGAAATGAATAAATACAAAAAACAACGAACACAAAGTTTAAAAAAAGAAATATGTTGAAAAAATATTTTTATTTTTGATATTTAGCATTTGAATTTTTTTCTCATCCAATCATCGAATTTAAAACAAATTTTTTCTTTTTTGCATTCGTGTAACCACTAATATTTTATTATATAAAGATGCCATCTTATTTTTATTTGATCAGCATTTTGCTTTATTTTATTCAACATTTCATCGACAACAGTTGTTATTCAGTTGTATTATTGACATTGAAGAAGAAATTTGAAAATCAATTAATTTCTTCATTTTTTTCAGATTTTCCATTAAATTGATTCAGCTTATCGAAATTACACTTTTCAATAAATACATGGTTATTAGGGCGGTTAAAAAAATCAATGGATATCAATTGTTGTGATATGCCAGATGAAGTCCCAGAAAAATCGAATATGTGTCCTCTAATAATAGAATGGGAATGGCGTACAAAACCGATTTGTCTTAATAAAGATGGAATTCAATGCAGATTATCATGCAGATCCCAATCCAATAACGAATTATCATCATTTATTCAACATCCGAAATCATTTGATACGAATGCAGACAAAGAAAATCATGGCGATTCCGTAGTTAAATGGTTTGCTGGGGTATGATTTATTTTCATTTATCAGTACTGATAATCGGTCTATCAGAAATCTATATCGGAAATGATATAGATTTATGGGAATAGAATTAATTTCTAATATAATCAATAATTTTAGTGACAAGAAATGGATAGAACTAGTTCTTGGCCGTGTAGGCGTTAAACTTTGTCATTTCTAGTTGATATATAACCCATGCTTCGTATTTTTACTATATAACTTTATAATAAATTTAGTCATTAGCTTTGCTTGTTTTTTTTAAATAAACAATATTAAAATAATATAAAACTGAGCATCTAATCAAGGAATGATAATAAAATTTAAGATAATTTAGGATAATGACAAAAGTGATAATCTCGAGTGTCCCACGTCATGCGATTCAGGTGATTCTGGTTTCTCATCCGATGACAATAACTGCTATCAGGAGCTTTTTGAACGTAACAAACTGTATGCTTGTCACTCTTAATTTTCGAACATTTAACAAGTCATTTTCATTAACAAGTCGCCTTACTTCAACCTCCTTTCAGATTTTATTTTTTAATAAAATAAATTAAATTTATAAATCTCTCAAAAATTTCATGTTTCTTTTGATTATATTTGTGGCTCACAAGCTAGATATAGTTTTAGTTTTATTATAAACCGCTGATAAAATCTCTGATAATCGTTCAAATATAATTTTATGAATAAGCTTTTACAGAGTGAGAAGTAAATCACTGCGTTCAGCTCTAAGGATGCCAACACGTAATCGTAGTCAAAAATCTGTGCGGTTTGCTGATGTAATTGGCTTGAACCTAGTCCAACAAAGTTATTACGAAAAAGATGATACGGAGGATTTAAAGTAATAACATTTTTTATGTTTTAAATTTAACATTTTAACATTTAATTAACATTTTAACACTTTTTTAATTCGTTTATAAAAAATAATTTAGAAATACAATTAGGCTTTATCTAGCTTTATGTTTTATCCAATAAATCAGAAAGTGAGGGGTTTGTATTGGCCATATCTGGTTTGCTTCGCTCCATTTAGTTGGCTGACACAATTTTACCATTTAGAGGTAACAGTATGGATTAGTCCTTCCAGATTTTTTTAATGACTGGCTTCTGCTGTGTGTAGAAACTTGATGCTTCAAATGATAATCTTCTCACCTAGCTGTTTTCCCACTAAGTCGTATTCTGTACCATTATTCCGTATCTAATAACATAAATTAACCTAGTAAAGTATTTCTATATAAAAGATTTAAAGGAACGTATTCATAGTTTTCAGCATCAAATCGACTGATTCGACGTTCAAATTTAAATTTAAAGCATTAAATAAGGCATCAGTTCGTTCCATGACTTCTGCATTAGTTCCACTGAATTTTTCAAATCGTTCTCAAGCAGAAATTAGCAATATTATTCAAACACAACGAGTTTCATTGGATTCAGTTAATTTTATTGGAATGAATATAACCGGCACTATTGATGTTCTAAATGTTACAATGGACAAACGAGTAAGTAAACATTTCCTCTAAATTTTCAATTTTGAAGCAACAAAAATTTTTTTCTCGAAGAGTACTACAGTAATTCTCTAACTTCTTTCTTTTTGATTTCCTCTTTTTCTCATTTAATTTCATTTTAAAGCAATAATAATCCAGGTTTACGTTCGATATACATTTGATGCATGGAAAACAAGTATTGATTCACAAGCAAAATATTCGAAAGCAATCGGTGAAGATGGTGCTATTGATGCATTCAATTTTCTTATCGTTTTACCCGCTGATTTGCCGGTAAAGCAACTTTTTTTTCGCGATTTTGCTTAGAACTTATAGTCCAAATACTTGTGGTAATTTCAGCCTACTGCTTCATGCGAATTCTGCATTCACTACAATGTCAATGGTGAATCATATTGGGACAATAATGATGAGAAAAATTATATTGTGCAAGTAATCGCGAATAAAACTAAAAAAAATGAAGCTACTTCCACAATGGAAACAAAAGATGAGGAAAATATACTGGAAGCAACAAATTGTAAAGCTGAGGAAGAAGTACAAGTTCCTTCTAAAGCCGATCGAGAGTTCAGAGTGAACAGACGTAGCATAGGCATGAACAAATTAGAAAGTGATTATCTTCCATCACTACCATGTGAACAAAGACAACGTTGTTCAAAAGGATACAACTGGAGGCAAAAATTACATAACACAACAGGTTTATCCACTTTATGAGGTAATATTTCCTGAAAAATAAATTTAAGTCGAATTAAAACATACAATTATTTTTAAATTATAAATTTATAGCAAAAATTTATTTTATATCAAAAATTGGTGGAAATCATTGAATTTATTAATTTGGTAAGTAATGGAAATTAGAAATTTTGAAACTCATTCTTTATAGAGAAATGGTTCTTTATGCAAGAAGCAATAAAATGTCGTGAATCAAGGAATTTCGAACACAAATGAATCTTTTGTTCAAAAAGCCAATTTATCTTTAAATTTAATCTATAAATTTATAATTTATCTATGAAATTGATTAAAGGAAAACACTTCATTAACATTTTTATATTATCACTGAAGGAATCTTTTTATTGTCGACATTCATTCACTATTCTATTAGCTTTGCTATGCGAGAAAATCATTTTCTTCATAAGGAGAAGGGAGGAAATGAGAGAGAAGGAGAGTGGTCTAAACTTGGTGCCACTCGTGTTCTTACATTTTCTCCTAAAACATTGAAGCCATTCCTTTTAGAGATGGCTTGATTATTAAATTAAATAAGTATCCGAATTATTTTTTAGCTATTTGAAACGCTTCTTTATAAATGCAAATATTCTTGGTTTTCATTATTCTTTAACAGCGATACTTGTGAATAATGGCGCAAAAAATTATATTTTCCATTCATTCATCTTGCCTTAAATTTTTATTGGCGCAGTATAAGCGGGTGATACTTTTTCGTGATATTTGCTTTATTATTATTATCATTATTATTACTATTATTATTATTACTATTACTATTATTACTTCGATTCGAATGCTCATTATTTTCTATTTGTTATAGAATTTTAAAAAAAACTGGTAAAAAAATTTTTTCAAAATTATTGGTTGCAATTGTTGCTTGATTTTTTAATAAGATTTATTAAAAAGAAACATCTTTAAAAACAAATATAATATAAATTACTAAATATAAGTTGATTCATGGATTCATGCTGTTCAATATTGGAAATAATCTCATTAGGTGATTAATTTTTTTTAGAATAAAATAGTATCAAAATAGCATACGGGGTGGAAGTGAATATTTTTTTTAAGAGGAGATTAATAAAAAAATTTAAATTTTAATGTTTACAACTTTAATTTACTTTACTATGGCTTTTATTACATCTCAGAAAGAGATATACCTTTCATTGCATTTTGCATCTTGTCATTGTGTTGAAGGGCGTGGCGTTTCTTCCCACAATCTGCCCTAGAATCCTATCTAGTGTGGTGGATCCTGTTCCAGTCGATTTAGAAAATGCCTACTTTTGCTGCTATGATCAGTGCCTCAATGTTGCCTTTTAGTCCAACTTTTTCCAAACATTGGTAGGATTTTCCAATGTCAACTACCTTAGCCATCTTTCGAAAGTGCTACCTATGGGAAGGCTTGCTATGCCATAGTATTTCCTCTGCTTGGTCTTTTTCCAGTAACTGTAGGTGCTTCAGATATTCTCTCAGTAGTTCATCCTTCCTCATCCTTTTGGTGCCATTCTACTGATATGTTTCTGAATGCTTAGAGTTTCTTTCAAGAGAATGACTTTCACACTCTGAGTGGATTTGGAGCAAAAACCTCCATGCATTGTGAGGAGTTTCCTTGTTTTCAATTAGCAATCTCCATATCTTCCTTTTCATGATAGCTGATGACTGGCTTGAGGTTATATATATTTATGATATTTTATTCCTACCACTGATTTAATATTTATCTTATTCTTTGGTGATGTTTGGATGTTGCCTTCCTTGCTCTCCTCATCGTAATTGCTATATGACTGTGAAACACCAAGGTATTTGTAGCTAATTTGTAATGTGTAGACCTGCTATATATTCTAATGGCAGATGCATCCTATTAGTCATTACTGCTTTTCCTCTGTTTACTACCATACGACCACATTTCTTTAATCCGAATGGCATCCCAGTGTCCTGCTACAGATTCGTGTTCGATGAATTAGCGAGCAAATATCTCGTTTACTTTTCGCATAAACTCTTCATGTCATTCGTGTAGAGAAAATGGCTGATGGTAGCCCTCTTGAATCTATCTGCTTCTAGTTATTATCTGTCTGAGAAAGATTTATGCAGAACAATAAATGAGACAATGCATCCTTGATATATGCAGCACATGATTATTTTTTATAAATTGAATTGAAAAAGTATTAAAGTATTAAAATGTTTATTAAATGTTAAAATGTTAAATTTAAAACATAAAAAATGTTATTACTTTAAATCCTCCATATCATCTTTTTCGTAATAACTTTGTTGGACTAGGTTCAAGCCAATTACATCAGCAAACCGCACAGATTTTTGACTACGATTACGTGTTGGCATCCTTAGAGCTGAACGCAGTGATTTACTTCTCACTCTGTAAAAGCTTATTCATAAAATTATATTTGAACGATTATCAGAGATTTTATCAGCGGTTTATAATAAAACTAAAACTATATCTAGCTTGTGAGCCACAAATATAATCAAAAGAAATATGAAATTTTTGAGAGATTTATAAATTTAATTTATTTTATTAAAAAATAAAATCTGAAAGGAGGTTGAAGTAAGGCGACTTGTTAATGAAAATGACTTGTTAAATGTTCGAAAATTAAGAGTGACAAGCATACAGTTTGTTACGTTCAAAAAGCTCCTGATAGCAGTTATTGTCATCGGATGAGAAACCAGAATCACCTGAATCGCATGACGGACACTCGAGATTATCACTTTTGTCATTATCCTAAATTATCTTAAATTTTATTATCATTCCTTGATTAGATGCTCAGCTTTATTGCCCTAACCAGCGAAAGCGACGCTTTGTGATAGCATTATTAATATAGGTAGTATTTGAGCGAAGATAGATACAATCATATGCGATTTTATCCGTTCGCCGATTCGTAAAATGTATTTTAGAATGGTCAAAGGCTATAATAGCTTCTTAATATCTTCTTCCACACTCACTAGCTAAGTTTCGCAGCCACATAGCAAAATCGAGCGAATCGCAACTATATGGGCGCGGTCTTTATGGCGATTTCGCGGCGTTTCATCAACGGGAAAAACATATTTCTAGCTGTCGTTACCCGGGTTACAATTCCATCCTTTGCCTGGCTATTTGGGATTAGAGTGGATCCAAGGTATTTAAAGTTAAGCACTTTCCCAACCGATAATGAATTTATAAAAACAAGCATTTTATGAGAAAACACTTTCGTTTTATTTACATTAATTTTGAATCTAATTCTCGCTATAGTTGACACATTTTTTAACATTATTTGCATTTCCTTATAACTACTTCAAAAAGCAAAAAGGACTACGTCATCAGCGTATTCAAGATCTGTAATGCTATGCTCTGGACTAATTCGGACACTTCTTGAGTGCTGACAAGCGATGTTCATTAACCAGTCTATCGCATAGTTGAATACTGTAAGGGAAAGGATGCAGCTTTGACGGACACTAGTTCTTATGATACGCCATCTATGGACCTGGACATAGTTGACACGTTCGTCGAATCATACGCTTGCAACTACAAGCCTCTAACAGAAGAAGAAATAATCTCCGTTATCCATAAGCTTGGGGATAGAATGGTTTAGTGGGCCCTTGCTCAACTGGGAGCGCCGATGTTGTAGTTCGATTCCTCGCAGGAGTAAACCTGTACAAAAATCTGGGTGATGCTGATGGCTCACCTGTATTTCTATCGCCAAGGGATTCAAATATGACAAGCCAGTGGAGCGAAATTTAACCAGTAATGGTGAAGACTCTTTAAAAAAAAAAATTCATAAGCTTAAGGCCAATAAGACTCTGGGAGAAGATGATCTTCGGGGTTCGAATGTTGTCCATCGCCCTTCATAATCTTCAGTAAGTGCATTCTCTGGATTGGAAAGAAGAAATTTTACCAGAAGACTGGAGCAAAGCAATTTTGTTTCCAATTCTCAAGAAAGGGTGATGAGATTATAGGAAATACTACGACAATTATCAAGAAATCAGTCTATTAAACGTCTCAGCGAATATTTTTGCTTCCCTTTTACTCAGCAGACTTATGGAAACACGGTATGGTTGTACTGACCAGATATTCACGTTAAGAAGGATGTTGGAACATCGCTTCAAATATTTGCAGCACACTGCCACAGGTTTCATCGACTTGCCACTACCTTTGATCCAGTTGATAGAGCAGCGCTTTGGAAAGTGATGGAATGTGATGCTGTTCCAGAAAAGATCATTCGACTCATAAAGGCATTTTTTGAACGTACATCGGCACAGGTCTGTGCATATGAGGAACTGACAGACTCGAAATAAGAACCGGTGTCCGTCAAGACAGTGTCCTTTCTCCCACAATATTCAACTATGCACCGATAATGGACACCGCTTGTCGGCACTCAAGACGTGTCCAAATCATTCCAGAGCATGAATGCATTTTGAATACGCTGATGATAAAGTTCTTTTTGCTAATAGTTATGACGCAAATATTAAATAACATGTCAACGACTCCAGCGAAAATCAGATTTAGGATCAATATAAATAAAATTAAAGGCTTCTTATATACAAGAACCTGATAAAATACTTATTTTTATCAATTCTTTCAATTCAATCCGGTTGAGGAAATGTCCGATTTTAAATATCTTGGATCCACTTTAATACCGAATTTACAGACCAGACAAAAGACGAAATTGCAACCCGGATAACGGTTGTTATTCAGGAATTGTTCTTCCAGTTGACGATACCTTTATGAAGCGGTCGTGAAATCACCATAAAAACGAATGTCCGCATCTATATAGCCGTAATTCGTTCGATCTTGCTATATGGCTGCAAGATATGGTCAATAAGAGTGTATATTAAGAAGTTATCTGCCTTTGTCCATTTATGTCTAAGGTACATTTTACTGTTCCGTCGAGCGGATAAAATATCAATGATCGCATCTACCTTCGTTCCGATACCATTTGCATTAATAATGTTAACACAGAGCGTCACCTTCGCTGGTTAGAGGACATTCTCCATCTTCCATCACAGGTGTTGGTGCATATTTCGTTACTTGCTAAACTATGTGATGGATGACGTCAAAAGCGAGATGGGCCAATCAAGACCTGGACTGATAGGGTTAGCAAATATTTTGAACGTATAGATGGACCAGCAATATATGGACTTAAACGATGGAAAAAGGAATGGCTTTTATTATTGTCAACGATGGCTGAACTGCATCCCTTGGAAGCATATCTTATCCTTGTCGCCGTTGCAGTCAATCTAACCAGTAATGGTGAGAGATATTAGAAGATGAAGAAGAATTCACAGTTTATTGGCTATTAAGCCTAAGTTATTTTTCATTCTCTGTTTCCTCTTCAAATCCAAGAATTGCAAAATTGCTTAAATCTGGAAGAAATCAACAGAAAATTCCACAAACAAATCCCTAATTGAATGAATTTGTGAATTATGGCGAAAAATATAATGGAATACCCAAGGTTACGAAGACTTCGTGCTTTCGTAAACTGCACATAGCATGTTTGCTCTTATTTGTTGTTTGTTATTCGTTGTTTCTGATAGTAGTACATGATATTTTAATGTGTCTGATTTTAATGTTTTAAATAAATGAAGTATTAAAAAACGCTTATTTATTTATTAGGGCAGATGTTGAAATTCTAAAAAGATTTACAAAATTTCACGAACATTCTCGTTAAGATCTGAAAGAACAAGTAAGCTTGTTGAGGAAAGCTCGACCACTCATTTAATTTATTGGTGCAAACCACTCTAATGGAATTTTTTCCAAAAATCTAAAAATTACCCATAAAAAAAATATTTTAAATTTGACAGAAGTTTTATTGTTTTCGTTCATATTGTCCACACATTTTCGAATCCAGTTTCAAAAAAAAAGGAAATTGCAGCCATAAAATTTAAAAGGTTTAAAATTTTTCTGTTCTTAAGAAATCGTTTTATTGTTAAAAATTTTTCTGTTCTTAAGAAATCGTTTTATTGTATAAAATCGATGATTTCAACATTTTTTTTGAAATTTATAATCAAAAATGAGATTAAGAAATCTCCAGTGATTTATAATTATTTCCAAGGTATTCAGTGATATGCACGATATAATAGAATTTTATCAGTTTTTTTCTAGAATCAAGTAGAGTTTCATATTTACGCTTTGAAAGTAGCATTAACTTGCAACGTTGGAACGCTAAACTACGATGAAATGCATTTTCAAATGCAAAGAAACTTTTCTGCATGTTCGAAGTTAATGAGAAAATTAGACCAGCGTATTAATTTTTTTAAAAGCCCTGCATTTAACTTGTCATCACATCAAACTACACATTTAAAATTAGGAGAAGATAAAAAAATGACTGGAATCAAGTCGCTGATCCGAATTTTATTGGAACAATTTTATCTGCGCCACTTTCTACTTCACGAGCTGTGTGTCTAAAATATTTCCTGTTATAAATTTTATTTTCATCAAATTTTTTAGTCGAAGTTTCCCTATAAAATTAAACCAGTTCGAAATTTAATTTTTTATCTCACTGAATAAATCAAATAATTTGATCACCTTGTTCTAGCATTCTTCAAATCGTCAGTTGATGGTACTTTTATTGGAACCAAATTGATACCTTTCATCACACGACCATGCGAATCGACTAAACTTATTTGCACTGCGGTATTCAAGCCGTAATTATTGCTACCAAGTTTCTTAAAATATTGCTTTTTCAGCCAGTTTCATGCAACAAATAAAGACTCATTGAAAAAAAGATTAAATGATGATAGTCGAAGTTTCTTTGGTCATTTTTATTAATTTTTATTTCTATTAATTTTTATCAACCATTGCAGATACAAATTTCTTTTAGTTTATCATTCTCTTTAAAAAGAAACTACACAGAAAAAATTATTCCCATCGGATTGGAATTGAAATGCTATGGTTTTTAAATTGCAATAATTGGATTTGTTTTGAGATCATAAAACTTCGACCTCTTAATGATAAATTCAATCTTTAAAAAAAGAATATTTTCAAAAAAATTTTTGCTTCATACAACAATTAATTTATTCATGCAACGTACAAATAAAGACTCATTGAAAAAAAGATTTAATGATGATAGTCGAAATTTCTTTGGCCATCCACAATGAATCTTTACGGATGAGATGAGAATACCATCTCAAAAATAAAAATTCCAGAAATAATAACCTTGGGATCAATCCGTGCTTTGTTTTTTGCAACCACAGGAGTTGACTGTACTTCAATCTTTTTATTCCCCTTAGTAAATATTATTGGCGTTTTTAATTCAACTTTTACGTCCTGACAAAAAGAAAATTGGAGAAAAATAATTATATCTGAATTATACTGAAATTTTAAAATTAAAACATAGCTTAAAATTATTACTTAAAAATAGCGAAGACAATAATTTTCTATTTGTCTTATAAAACCAATTAATATTATTTGTTGAATTATCGAAACACTAATATTGTTTAACTATTTGACTTAATCTTTCCAGTGTTTTTATTAAAATGTTGATCAATTTATCTTTAAAAGTGGAGAAGTACTTGTGATTTTTCGGGCATTTCTGTCACCGATTCCTTTTTTGACTCGACAGGAGTTCCACTCAAAGCAGCCATCATCCTAGATCTTAGCGATAAGTTGGATGGGACTTTCGGAGATACACCATTGTTAATCTGCAAATCGCGGATTTAAAACTCTGTTAAAATTAAGTTAATTACTTTGGCACATTTTTTGGTTCTTTTGTCTGTTGAAATGGGAAAATATGAAGTGAAAATGGATCCATCAGAAAAAATATCGCACGACAGTTACTGAACATAAAATCATGGTCATTCTCTCAATAATGATTTAATCTTACATTGCGTTAAATATAGAAAAGATAATTCCATTTACTTGTTGGTCACGCTCAGGTATAATTGCTTGCTTTGGATCACCAACGGCTTTAGCGGGACGAAGACCAGCAGGTAAGGAAAATGAGGAGCAATAACTGACAAAAAGAAGCAATATCGGAAAGTATCTGAGCATAGCCGTTATCTAAAAACGAATGTCTCAAATGCATAATGAAAGAGAATTATCAGTCTTTTTCGACGATAGATTCTTTTAGTGATTTATATTAGAAGGTGCGATTAATTCTTGCAACATTAAAGCTTTTAAATAGCAAACTCTCGAATACAGTAGAAAAATAATGTTATAAAAATTCTGTGATCTCTAGCACTGCCCAAACTGTCAGTAATGCTTTATTATGGAATTAGATAGTTGAGTGATTTGAATCAAGCCAAGCAAATCATGGGTTATTCTTTCTTCCTAAAATCTTCCGTGTCCTTATATCCTTGATGAATTAATAAAAATTTCGACAAATATATGTGCTTAAAACCTTGCGAAAGAAAAAAAATGCTAATCGGACTTAATTTCTATTTTCATGCAGATAAGTACGAATATTGAGAAGATAAGTAATACCGACCAAAAAAAACGTAATTTTTCGCATAAATGAAAAGAATTCGTCGATGGATGTGATTTAGCGATCCTCCATTTTCTAAATCAGATTTTAGTGGATGAAAAATAAAGTGTTTTGCAGAATTGATGAAATGAAATTTATTTATGGCAGAAATAATTTTCAAGAAATCATTTATATCATTTTTGGCATGAATCCCTTTCATTTATCAATGCCCATTTTTTATTGTTCATAAATATCATAGATAGAAACCAAATGGGAATATTTTTGCCACATTTCTAAAAACGATCAAATATTTTATATTTTTCATTGCACAATATAAAAATTTGATAAATTTCATACCAAAATGACCATGGGAATTGCGAAAATTCGAATTTAATCGCTTTAAGAAATTTGACCACAATAAAATTCAAGTAGAGCTTTAAAATAATTTGAAATTATAAGATTATACACTAATGCAATCAGCAGCAAATTAAATTTGGAAAAAATTCTATAAAATAAAGCGGATCTATTCAGCGATTTCTTCTAAAAGTGTAAAATAAATGGCTAGCGCTGATCTTTTCTGGTCGGACTTGACTCGTTAGCTGATAATCGTTAGATTTTAGCAAAGGAGTGGTCAGATTTAGGGAAAGATGAACAGGCAGATCAGAACCTGTATTTTTTCAAATGAAAGATATAGAAAGATAAAGATATAGATAAAGATATTTTGTCAGGACAAGAACTGAGTTGTTATTTTTCAATGCGATAATATGGGCCACTATGCACTCGGCTATCGTTCCCTCAATGACACCTACCCTCAGCAAAAGTATAAATTGTTTTATTTTGGTGAAAAATTGCAATTAATAAAAATTTTAAGGAAATGAAATTAAAAAAACTTAATGGCAGTCTACAAGGTTCAAATGCAAAAAAACGGTTCATATATCGAAAAATATTGGGCAAGATGAATTAAATTAAATATTTTATGATAATGAGAATGGTTAATTCTCTAATAAATACAGTTAAAAAATGAAAAGAAAATTATGAAAATCTATTGAATTTAACGAAGGGAAAGAAATGGAAGAAGAAAAAAGTCTAAGAATAATATCTGATGAATAAACTCCGGTTACCAGCTGGCATTATGACCTAAAATTCATATAAATGACCTAAAATTCAATAAAAATTGATCCGTTTAAACCAATGATGATTGATTTGCAAATGCCAACCTTAACATTATTATATATCTAATGCGTAATTAATTATATGGTACTTTTTATTTATTTACGATAAATTATATAATATTCATGGCTAGCTTCCACTATGTCTGGTTAAGATAGTCACATTTGCTATTAGTATGATGAGAAATTTTGGTCACTTGAGGATTGAAAGAAGTGCAGAAGTACAGATGGTCAGCGCATCATCCGGATTTTTTAATAAGATATTTAAGTTTGTATGGGAAATAGAGCACTGGTATTGATGGCCGATGAGATAATTTAAAAAAAAACCTAATATGTGTTACTATCGTTGCTCAAATGTTTTGAAGTTCACAATTTTATGATGAATCCTATGAACAATAAGAAAAGAAAAAAACATGCTCAAGAAATGGCAATATTTCTTTACTAATATTTAAATATATTATATACATATATACAATAAATACTATATATTAATATATTAATATATACTACTATATATATACTACTATTAATATATACTACTATTTATATATATTAATATTTATAACTGGATTGTATGCTGAAATTAAACCAAATAACCAAATTAATAAATTTAATAAAAATTAACACGATTAACGAAGAAAAAAATGCTTATTCTCTTGTGAAGTCTCATTCTAGTCGCCTATGGAACAAGCCAAACCTCCTGATTTAATGAAAATAAATAAAGCCACTAGGATATCCTTGCTGCCTATGGGAATAAAATTTTTCCTAGTCTTACCAATCTGAATTTTGGTTGGCTTTCCTCCTTTCAATGCATCTATCATAGGATTTAGCAGGTAAAGAGATTTGTGTTAATTCTTGTGGTGAACAGCAAAGAACGGAAGCAAATCACTACAGGCGATATTTGTGGCGATATTAATGCAGATAATATTTGAATGGTGAAGAATGTACTTTAGGCAAGAATGGTCAAAGGCCTGATCCTGATATTTTCCACACTAGTCAGTTTCGAAATTGTTGCTATCGACACATGGTTAACCTGGTCAACATTCAAGGTAATACTATGCACTGGATATATTTATACAGCTCTTCAGTGCTGGCAAGCGACGTTCATAACCCATTCTATCACTTAGCTAAAAATTGTAGAGGAGAGAACGTAACTTTGATGCAAACCTCAAAAGGTTGCATTAATTCGCTATCAACGCTGACAAAATGCTTTAATAAGTCTGATAAATGCATCTGAATGACCACTATTTTGCTTGACTTGCCAGAGCGTTGCCATATCGATCGAACCATGAGCAGTGCAATGTCAGTGAAATAACCTCGCTTTTTCGACTAATCAGCTACTGTTAATTCTTGATTTATGGTAGTCATTGCTTATTCCGACAATTACTTTAGTGTATTTCACTCAGTATGTTTCCCTCAAATCCTATTTCGATCTCTCAGCCAATTTCATTTTTATATTCATTGAAAAACAATATTCATTGAAAAAATTTAGCTAATATCGACATCAAATTTCGCTGAAAAAAATTAGAAATTAGACCGTTTAACGGAAATTAATTGATCCACTCAGTTTAATTCAAACAAGATCTGTTCTAAGATTTTGTTACAAAGAAGTTACAACTATCTATTTAACTAACTTTTTTTTTTAAGAATCCTCTTCATTACTGGTTAAACTCGCTTCGCTGGCTTGTCGCATTGGGCAACATGCCAAGGAGTACCTTGGCGATAGAAATGCAGATGAATCGCATCACTCGGATTTTTGTACAGGTTTATTCCTGCGGGGAATCGAATCTCAACATCGACGCTCCGAATTTAGCAACAACCCACTGAGCCATTCTATCACCATTTCACTATATGTATATATATAAGCTTGGGTATCATGTGCATACGTGAAATAGGTCGATTTTACAACTTCGCTGTGCATCAAACAAAAGGCTTGGAGGAATTTATCATTCATCAAAGTGAAGTTTTTCACGTTTATACATGTTTGTATTTAGATTGGAGCAAAGCGATTCTTCTTCCAATTCCTAAGAAAGATGACATGACGTACTGCGATAATTACCAGTCTACTGGACATCTCTAGAAAAATTTTTGCTTCCCTTCTGCTAAATAGATTCATGGCAACATGAGAATGCATCCTAACCAAGCTGAATTCAGACCGGGACGGTTATGCTGACTATATATTTACGCTAAGAAGGGTGCTAGAATATTGCTTCAAATAGCAGAAAGCCACCGTCACTTGCTTCCATGATTTTGCAGATACCTTCGATTCGCTTGATAGAGCAGCACTCAAGGAAAGTGATGCAATGTGGCGATATCCCAGAGAAGATCATTCGGTTCATAAAGATATTTTATCAGCATATTCTGTCGCAGATCTGTGTATATGGGGAACTGATAGACCCCTTCAAAATAAGAATTGGTGTCCACCAGCGTTGCTTTATTTCCCCTACAATATTCAACCATGATTATGATAGACTAGATAATCGGCACTGCTTGTCGGCACTCAAGAGATATGCAAATCAGTATAGAGCATAGCGTGTGCTTGACTTTAAATAACCTTTGATCCATTCTAATCACAAATGGCCAAGCAAAAGATGAAATTTTAACTCGAATAACAACAGCTAGAAATATGTTTTTCCGGTTAATGAAATTTATGGAACCACTGCGAAATCACCATAAAGACGAAAATCCGAGTCCATAGTTGCGATTTGCTCGATCTTGCTATGTGCTTGCGAAATATGCCAATGAGAATGGAAGATATTAGGAAGAAGCTATTAGCCTTTGACCATTCTAAGATGCATTTTACGAATCCATGATTGATTGTATTCATCTTCGCTTAAATACTACCTGTATTAATAATGTTATCACAAAGCGTCGCGTTCGCTGGTTAGGGCAGATTCTCTGTCGTCCACCACAAGAGCTGACGCATATTTCGTTACTTGCTAAACTCTGTGATGATTGACGTCAAAAGCGAGGAGGGCCACTCAAGACCTATACTGTTACAATCAGGAAAGATTTTGAATGTATAGGGGAACCAGCAATACATGGACTTAGACGATGGAAAAAAAGAATGGCTTCTATTACTACTGAGTAGTTTGGAGACGTCTTTCCTTTGTAGTAAGCGGAGCCAGTCTGACCAGTAATTGTGAGAGTAATTGTTAGAAGAAGAAGGTTCATTATTGAAGTAGAAGGGTTAAAGAACCATGCTATAATGAATGGCTAGTAATGAAATATAGACTATCTGCTTATCTTTTATTTAAGGAATATTATCACAATTATCATCATTTTTTTCATATTTTCATTTCATTTTTCATTCCATAATTACATTTTAATAAGATATTTAAAAATCGTAATTTATCCTAAGCATTAAGGGAAAATAAATCAGAAAATTTCATATTCTATTTCAATTTGTTACACAAACTCCCTTTATGCAAAGCTATTTCAGTAATCTTATTATATCATATCAACATTACACAAACAATTATCACATTTTTTGTATCAGAGAATTGATAAATTTTGTTGATCGCCATCTAAATCTCGTGATCTCCTAAAAAATTAATCGTATATTCATATATTGTAAAGATTGTTTACTGGTAAATTGTATGCACCAACATGTTTTTTAAAAAAAATAGAGCAAAAACATTAAAAATAGAAGGCGATCTTCTTTTCCTTTGAAATCACCTAGGATTATTGTAGATCTAAATTGATTTTAAATTTCTAACTTTGACACTGTCTGGCATGCCTGAATATATAAAATGGAACTCCGGGACGAAAAAGATCAAATTAGAATAAAAATTTTTTTATAATTAAAAAATTTATAATTTAAAATTTATAATTTAAATCAATACTTTCATACATAATAGCAGTATTGCACAATAGTATTTTCATTCATAATATACATAATTCGATAGCAGCTAAAATTAATTTTTCTTTTTTACGAAAGTTTAAAAGTACCTCACAGGTCCATATTTGCTTTTAAAACTTTCTTTCCTCATAACCGAGTGAAGTGTCCGAAATCTACAGCAAAGCATTTCTCGAAATGGTATTCGAAAATCTTTATTATATTTACAATAGATCAATGGATTTAACAGGCTAAAATGGGTATTTTTATTAATCAAGAAGATATAAAAGATTGGAAAAAAGGTTTTTTTAAAAACATTTCTTAATTTTAAATCATTTTTTAAAAGCAATGCATAAATTTCCTAATTTTGCCCATATAAGCATTGATCAGATTTTCATACCCTTTCCAAAGAGAATGGTATACTTCATTCCTCAATTGTAAATAAATACGGCTTAATTAACTTTTTTATTTTATGATACAGTTTCTTGAAAACGATGTCAGAAGGATAAAATTTAAGGATAAAAAGGCATTCATTCTTGTTAATTCTTTAATTAATTGTCAAAATTCTTCTAACAACACTTTTGCAAGCTCTGCTGGCTGTGAAGGAGAGAGCTTCTAAATTTCTTAGTCTCATGCCTTAATCACTTCTTTGGCCATTTTACAGCAAGTTAATGCACATCGCAATCGAACAGACATATATCAACAAATATAACTGCAGTCATAACGGCAATAACTGTAGCAATTTCATTAGGCTTCACCAGCTAAAAGAAAGTTTTTCTGGTTGCTGCTATCTTGGTTGTGAGTTCGTCCTTCGCTTGACCAGTTATTATAAAACTTGATCTAAGATTTTTAGAAATATCAATAGTATGGTATTCCTCCGTCGGCGATGCATTAATAAAATTAGGTTTTTTAACAGTCTAGTACGAGAAGTCTTATTTGCTTTCATTCTCTTAACATTTGTCCCAAACTAATTTTCACGGCAATTATCGATGCATGGTGTTGTTTCTATTGTACAGTACTTCTTCATAACTTAGCAGAAAAGAATATCTCGTCAGTGAGTTCAGAATACGTGGTATTATTATACGAACCGACTTGGTTCTTGAATATACACCCATAATACAGTCGGCCATATTGTGAATATTGTAGAAGAACGCATCTCTAATGCGTTCTTTTTCGATTTTTGATAAGAACTACCAGTTTCAGCCATACACATCTGTGTTAATATACACTGATGAAATGTCTTGAATGGTTTTCTGAGTGAATTTTTCGAATGAAGCACCGTCGTACGCCATCACACGCCAGAGCATGGCTCTATCAATTGATCAATTTAATCGAAGATTTTGGCACAATCAATAAAAGAAGGGACTGCCGCCATTTGAAGCGGAGTTGCTCAGAGCATTAACTATCCGAAGAGTTCTATTTAAACAGTTTGTCAGGAACAAATGGTGGCAGCGAAAATTCTCCGCAGAAGGCCTTACGATTCACTGGACTTCAACACCATATTCGGCAATTGCGTACCTATAAACCTACAGTGATAACATTATGCATCCATTTCAATCTCTTTAACTCATGGTCACCTTAAATTTTTGGGAGAAATGCTGTTAGCCATTGAAGTATATAAATTTTCCTCGACACGGTTGCCATATGGTAAGGTCTGATTGACCGAAATATTGCACCATTTCGCTTTGAAATGAGTATGAAATATTCATACGTTAAAAACTTTTCAACAATCAGAGCGAATTGAATTCTTCTAGAGATGGCATCATTGTATCCTCAACTATCTTTTATCAATGGTAGAGTACGTCTATTCCAAAGCAGGTACTCGAGATCCAGGTAAGCAAGGGACACGATATTTGGAGAAGGCGTGGAGGATATTGCTTGAATTCCAGCATCCAAGAATGTCCTGAATTCCATGCTGCTGCTAGGACCTTTCTTTATAATGCCAGTGCATATGTTCGTTCTCTTAATAGTTACCTTAACTCAATAAGCAACAGGTCAGAATTTGTTTCTTAGGAAGTGTTCCATATTATATGGTCCTTTTTCTTTTTCAGAAAATGAAAGTGAAATACGTTGCTGATTAAAATAAAAAATTTATGAAACTATTTCTTAAGCTGGCAATGACAAAAAAAACATTAAACTTTAAAATCAGTAAATAAAATAGGAAATGTAAAAAACATTTTATGATCGAATTATATCATGAAGATGGCTTGATGCACTTAAATTTAATTTTCTAAGGTTCTTAAAAATGGAAAACAAAAAAAGACAAAAAGCAATTTTTTTAAAATTTGAAAAAATGTCGCATTAAATAATAATGTTATAATCAAATACTGTTAAATAATTGATTTAGCTGTTGGAATAAAATGTCTATTGGCATAAATTTTATCAATATAGCAAAATTATTATAATCAGTAAACAATAGTTTTAAAAATGAACTAAACAAAAATTTAAAGCAAACATATAATCCTCAAACCATTTTGACTTGTTTTGGTAACAGTTTTTATCAATTTTTTTTGTTTAATAGCACTAAAAATTGCTAGTTAGACTCGTTCTGTTGGCTTGTTGAGCTGGATAAATACGCCACAGAGTCCCTTGGCAATAAAAATTTAGGCGAAACGCCAGTATCATCCAGATTTTTGGACAGCTTTACTCTTGTTTATATACTCTTGTTTTTATTCCTTGTTTTTTTCCACTGCTTGTTTATTATATTATATGTCACCTTTGCTTTAATTAATATTTTGTTATTGCATTATTTGGCCTCATCTTCCTCGGAAAAAATAAATAAATAAAATTTACCTGTTAGAGTAACCAAGCCAAAGTGTTAACGTGTCGAGCCAACCAGGTGGTGACAAACCATGAGGTTTAAATAGTGCTATTAGAAAGAAAGGAACCCAGCAAAATATGAAGACACTCATAATAACGCCTAAGGTTTTCCGTGCTTTTCCTTCAGTTTTCTCCGGCGTCCACACATTATTTACCTTTAAAGAAAATTACTTGAATAAGTAAATAGCATGGAAAGATAAATAATAAATAATAAGATAAATAAACAAAATAAAAAAAATTAATTTTTTGAGTTTTTTAAAAATTATTTCTTTTGGATTCATTTATTTTAATGATTAATTTTTAGTGCAATATTGGATGAATATAATTTTTTTCGCCAACTTTAAAAAAAATCTTCATTTATTATTTATAATCCTTTGATTTTTTCAATTTTCTTGAATTAAAAAATAAAAAAACAAATTTAAATTTTTTAAAAGCAAATTGATAATTGAAATTGATAATTGATATCCAATAATTAATGATCCTATGATTCTAAAGAAAAAAAATTTGGCAATTAAAATAGCATAAATAAAAATTTAGTTTAGATTTCTTTATTTCCAATTTCCGCTGCATATTTTTTTGATTAATTTTGATTTTAATTTAATTTTACATTATATAATTATTTCTTGTTTTGAAGGTAAAGACTATAAAATTTCCCCTTTTTAAATGGATTTTTTGAATAATTTTTAAGCAATCAATAAAACCATTGGGTGGAACACATAATATTTAATAACCCTTCCCTAATCCATCTTAAAGCTAAAAGTTTTTTGAATCATTAAAAACTAAAAATTATATTCGAGCCTTATGATCAATGCATAAAATGCCTTTATGAAGAGAAGGAATTTTGAAAACCGTTAAAATATTTTTTAATCAAAATGCATAAAAATTAATGAGACATATGGTAGAAAAAAATTTCCAGTTGTTTTTTTAAAATAAATCTATAATAAACATAATAAACATAAAATATACAGAGATTCCAAACAAAGATTTTTATTTTTAATTTCTAATAATTTTATTTTCTTATTTGTTAGAAAACATTCGTTTTGAAGTCTTTAAATTTATGAACAATCCATAAATGATAGAAAAATGTATTTATGAAAAGAAGAATTTCGAAATTTGTTAAAACATTTTCAAATCAAAATATGCTATTGCCGAATGAAATCAACGAAGGAATGTCAAAAATACGAATCATTCCTTTATTATATTATTATTATTATTCATTATTATTATTATCATTATTATTATTATGTTATTATAATGTTATTTAAGCTGCTGTTTTCTATTTCTATGAAAAAAGCATGAGCATTTAACCCGTTCAATCACACATAAAAAACTAATGGGCCTAGTGAATTCGAAGCCATTTTTTAACTTTTTATGGGCACAAATAAAAAATAATTTAAAAATAGAATAACTTTGGAATTATAACTCGCCTTAATGCACAATTTTGCGAAATATCGGCATTCATTGGAGATTTATTTGTCACAGAACGATGAAATTTTCTATTGAAGAAATTAACAAACCTTCGAAATGCTTTTTTTCAAATGTTAGCACAAATGATACAAAAAGTGAATTATAAACCTTTGCTTTAATAATAATTTGCTCAGGTTTTAATGTATTTAAGAAGAATCGTAAAATATATACCGATATACCGATAAAATATACCGATGAAACTACTATCTAACAAGTATTAAATAGAATATTATTATTTCATTATTATCAATTATGTGCCAAGGAAATTTTAGATGTCGCCTATATTTTAAGCCTTTTATTTTCTCCTAACCTATATGCAGATGAATCGAAAATTTCAATAAATATTTTATTTCATATCTTCTATGTTTTTATGTACTTTTTCGGTAATTGACGCAATTTTCTGCATCAGTACTTGAAAATTATTCTTTAATTATTATTCTTCAAAATAATTATTATTCTCTTGTTAATAAAATTAAAGAAAAATTTGAAAATTATTTAATTTAATTTTAACTTTTTTAAAAAAACTTAAAAAAAGGAAAAATCGAAAAGCTCAAAATAACTTCCAATTTAAAATGATTTTACCGTTTAATTCTCGAGCTGCACAAGCATTAATGACGTTTGAATAAAAAATTAACGAATTCGATGAAACTCTTAAAAGACGATTAAAATTAAATGAAAGATTTATAGTTAAAAGAAAAAATCAAAATGCTGATGGTGAATGAATGAGAAAATTATGCGTGCATCACGATTTGCTCAATTTTAAGGAATTAAATCACTGTTGACGGCATTGAGAATAAATACTTTTGCTAAGAAAATTATTATTAAGGTTAATGAAAATTAATGTTAACAAAATCTGAAAAGTGACATAAAAAGTCAAAGATTAACATTATCTATTAAAAATTTTTACCATGGGGACAGGTTAAAATAGTGGGATTTTGCTCAGATTCGGAGCGGCGATACTAGGGTTCTACTCCTCGCAGGAGTGAATTTGTCCAAAAATCCGAGTGTACGACTCACTTGCATTTATATCGTTAAGAGACTCTCTGGTATATTTGTCCAATGCGACGAACTAGTGGAGCGAGTTTAACAAGTAATGCTGAGGACAGTTAAAAAAAAAAATATTTTCATAAATTATGATTAGTATTATTATCACTGCGTGAAATCCTCCAATACGCTGTTTCTTGTCATCATTAGAGACATTTTTAACGAAACAGAATGTAAGGTTTGAATGCAAATGTTGGAAAAGATTTTTTTAAAAGCTCATTGCATAAGATTTCAGAATATATAAGAAAATCGAATTTAATGAGAGAAATTATTGGGGCATTTCGTTTTCCTTAGTATATTCAACTTTTTCATTAAAGTCATTCAATATTGCTTTATAGTGAGAAAATTCACATATTTTTAAAATTCACGAAGTCTTCTACATTGTAATCGAAACTAATCCGAGAACCAATCCTAGTTAAGCCGTACCAATATTAAAAAATTTCATGTATTGCATATCTTATATTTTTTTTTGGTAAATCATTAAGCCATTAGATGAAATAAAATTCGCTCTACGAAATCATTTCTGTTTTTGAAAAACTCTAATATAGTTCCACCCTTTACTAGTTTTATTGCATAATAAGAAGCAAAATAGAAGGCTTAAAGAAAATAAGTTGAGAAAACTGTAAAATAAGCTTATTTAAAGACTAAATTTGTCGCATCCATGAATTTTTCAGAAGGATTCTGTGGGAACTTGAAAATGAAATTTTTAATTACTATATCAATTATCTGTCGTATTTAGCTAGAAAATTATTTATGGTCAAATTTTTTCAAAGCAAAAATTATATTTCATTAATCTTTTTTCTATTTTCCACCCAAATGTTTTATTTTTCACAAATTTCTTATCTTTATTCTTAATTTTTTAAAGGAGTTAAAAAAAAAGAGAAAAACAGACGAACAGAAGTATGAAGTATGAAGAACAGAAAAATTAAAACTTTTTTCATATTTCGATTTTTTTAAAAAAAATTTAAAAAAATTAAATGCATAAAACAAAATTTATTCACATGATAATGATTTTACAATTAAATTTCCCCCTAAAATCTAAAGTATGATACATAGAAATGCTTATAAATTGAAAAAAATTCTATTTTCACTGATAAATTTTATTCCCACCGAAAATTTATAAAATTCAAACATACAATCATAAACTATTTCATAATTTTTACATTATTATTATTACCATTATTTTTTTAAAGTTCTACAAAAAATCGAAATAATAAAAAAATTCTTTTCAGCTGTTGAAATATTCACTAATGAAATATCACGCATATTTTATTATATTAAAGAGATCGATGATGAAGTTTAATTCAATGATAGCATCATCATCCATTGAAATAAGAATCATTACATAGGCCATAAACTTTCTTTTTCAGTAATAAAAGTATCGACATGGTAATAGAAATTTTTATCATTAATTATCTTAAATTAATTTTATCATTAATTCTTTAAAATTAATCATCGAATGAGATATTTCGGATGGCCACCATTTTTTTAGTGATAAAATCCAAAAAGAATGGTCTGGCGATTTCAGCAACTTTGATTATATAACTAATCAACTACCTTTTAGATTGAGCGAAAGGGAAAGATACGGATAAAGCCGATGAAAGTGGCCAAAATTTCTGCTAATTCGAATTGTAAAGAGATTTTTCCTGGATAGAACTAATCGTATTGGCTGAATATCTTATTTTAGAGGCTAAAAATTTCATTCGAATAAAGAATATTTCAGAAAATTAGAATTTAAGAACAAATCATATTTAAGAAATAAGATTGAAGCTTAAAAGAAATGAATAATTGATAACGACCAAACGACTTAGAATATTGCTTACTAAATTGATTTTAGTACATTGCCATAAAAAAGATTCGAATGGAACTCAGGGATAACAATAAGCATGCATGGTTATGGACGTCCTAACTGGAATTTACTGCTTTAAATTGAATTCATCTTTCGTCCGAATTCAAAAAAGAGATCCATTAAAAAATATTATTAAATTAGTCAAAGTGAGAAAATCAGATATTGATTTTTAATAAATCATGATGAAATCATTATAAAATCATTGCAAACGAGATAAAACAAATTTACTTGAAAATTTTAAAGTGCCATCTTCTGAAAATTTTGTCGGAAATAATTTTACTCATTCTTAATTTTAAAGTACCATAGATCATTTTTTCAAAAACATGATTCTGAAAATTTTATCGAAAATAATTTTACTCATTCTCATTTCTTAATTTTCGTGAGCACTGGTCAATTAATTGGTAAGTTAATTTGGAAACGATATATTTCATGAATTTCAATCGTTTATGCTGGTACTGTTTTATGTTTCTGGTCGTTAGTACCATCAGATAACCACATGAACATGCAATCCCTTCTTGAATATGTGATGCAATAGTATCAGTGAATCGCTATACTTATAATAAATTGAAAGAAAATTATCCATGGTTAAGGCTGAATTATGATTATTTCCAAATGAAAAAGGAATGATTATGGTCATAGTTCTATAATTTCATTTGCATTTATTAGTATTCCAGTCCATTATTATCGAATTGCGTAAAAAATCATTTTTTAAGCATATTGACGAAAAAAAATTTTGAGAAATTTTGAAAAAAAATTAGAAATTTTTTTGAGTTGCGAACTAGCATAGCATTGCCAGAAAATATTGCCATAAAAATTTGTATAATGTGAATATAGAAAAAAAACTTAATGCTTAAATGGATTTTTAAATGAATTTTTTAAATAATGGAAAATAGTCATTTAAGCTCTTTCTGATATAATTGTTTGCGTAATTAGTTCAGTTCAGTGTTAGATGATTACAATTTTAGGCAGATAGTCGTAGATTGCAAGTTTATCAATGGTACTTTCTCAAACATAAATTCATCATAGAGAACCAGAAATTGGATCAAATCAAGTGCAAAAAAAAATAGAGCAAGAATCTAAAACACATCACTATATTCAGTATGATGGATATTGTAAGTTAAAAATGGAGGATTCGAGTGGATAAAGGAATTAAACTCCTCTAGACTAAGAAAATATTCTCCAATGTCTAATAGACAATTCTTCGAACCGCTTAGATTATGGCTTGACATGGCTTAATTAATTAAACATTTAGAATATGATCGATTTTTTGCTCAAATTTCATGAAAAATTAGTTTTCAATATTTAAAGATATATAATGAAATTAAATGATTAAAATAAAAATTCTCACAAATCGAATTTTTTGAAGCAGATTTAATGGTCGTTGTTTCTTCTTTGGCTTCTTTCCATTAGCTGTATTTGGCATGGCTTTTATGAAATTGCGATCCTGATCAGTCAAACGTTTTGCTGCCAACCACATTTTTGCATACAAAATAATCATTATTAAGGTAGGAGCATAAAAAGCAATTATTGTTGCATATATTTGATAAACGGGATTTTGATTCACCTGAAATTTATTAAAATATTTATAATTATGCAGCCGGGTGCTCAAGGATTTGTTTTTCAAAGTCCTTTTATGCTCAGAAAAAGTTGGTTTATAGAAGATTAACTTAATCATTCCGTCCTATTTCGTTAAATATCAAACATATCGGACAATGCTTGGTTAAAGGAGATTTGCTATACTAGCTAAAAATAAATTAACCTCATTCTTGGCTACATCTCCCGTGATAGGATAATCCTAATTTAGCCCAGCGATGAAAAAAGAAAACATTGAGGAACTAAAGTTCGTGATAAATTAGCTATAAAAATTAATAAATAGAAAAAAATTAAAATATTTTGCAGCAAAAAGCTCTTTTCAATTTTATGGCAATAATAAATTTACAAAGCTCTTCAAACAATTAATTTTTTTTGTTTTGTTTTATTTTAAATAATAATCGAGCAATTTCTATTGGCGGATATTTCTCAAATTTATCAGTTTATTAATTTTTTTCAATTTTTTTTAACGACTTGAGAATAAAAAACAATGATAGAGCCTAACGCGAGTGTTCATTTATAGATTTCCTTTTTTTATTATGATTAAAGTAAAAGCATAGAAAAACTTAGAAAATTTTGAATTTTGCGCAGCCGATTTGGTTTATAAACAACCAGTTAAATTTCATTATAAATTCGTAAATGTTATTCAAAATTTCTTTCGAATTTTGCATTAAACATTCCATATTTTTGTCGATTGTAATAAATTTATAAAGTTATGAATGCAATACTAATGTAAATTTTTTATAGTTTAGTTTAGTTTATTGTAGGGGGAATTTAATTATATGCATGTTGTTTAGACATAATGCGACTGACTTTCTCGTTTAGTTACAATTAACCAAAAAAGAAATCGCTAAAAAAAGTTTAAGCAATTTTCAGTTAGTTCGCCAAATTTCACTGTATCGAGTTTGAATTCATGAGCGCAACAATCGCGATTATACTATTTATTCATTGTATTACAATTACACCACTATGAAACGAACTGGAAGTGATGAAAAAATACCTTTAAGTACCGAAAGCCATAATTACAAATACGTAAAGAATTAGATTCACTTGAATAAAGTCGAGCAAATAAAATGACAATTTAGATGACTCAATTAATTTAGAGTGTAAAAAAATGTATAAAAAATACAAAAAAATTTAAAATTTAGAAATTGTTATGATGTAGTCGTCTTTTACATTTTATGTCAAAAAAAGATAAAGAATAGAACAGAAACAAAAAATAACAAAAAATAATTAGAATTTTATCACTTTAAGAAAATTTGAGTAGGAATACCTGACAAGTGCCTTCAATATGTTTGGCTGGCCATATAACAATTGGCGATATACTAACGATCAATGCAACGATCCAAACGATTGCTATATAAGATAAAATTCGGCGAGTTGTTCGCTGAGTAGCATACCGCAAAGGCCGACTTACGGCGCAATAACGATCAACACTTATCATGCATAAATTAATTATTGATGCTGTGCATAAAGTTAAATCTGCTGATGTCCACAGTCGACAAATAATTTCACCCAAAATCCAATTTTCATAAAATATATCAATTACTGCTATCGGCATAACAATAAGACCAACACAAAAATCTGATACAGCTAATGAAACAAGCAATAAATTGCATGGTTGTTTCAATTTTCGCACTATCAATACAGCAATAATCACTAATGCATTACCAACGAGTGTTGCAATTATCATAGTTACAGTGATTATACATATAAAAACAGCAAATGTCACTGTATAGAAATCAGCACATTTTAGTAATGAACCGATAAGAGTATTATTTGTATGTATCGTTGACATTTTAAATGATAAATTTCTATTTATTTGTTCACTTAGTTATGAAAATTGTAAATTTATTGAATTAAAATTCGAAATAGGCAATTGAGAAAGAATGTGGAATACATTCATAGTAAAAAAAATAAATCTGCAATTTTTCAAGAAATTTATTTAAATTTGCCATAAAATTTAATTAACGAATTCGCATAATTCTCCAAATATTTTTTCTATTTAAAGCCTTAAAAATTTAAAATTCTGCTTTTTTTATTCCTCCATTAATCGAAGAAAGCTTATCAGAATTTTAATAAAATCCTACTTTTGAATACTTAATTAATGACAAAACATCAACGAATCAAACGACGCTAAGAATTTCGCGACAAGTGTGAAGAATAAAGTGTGAATAAAGAATAAAAAATAAAAAAAGATTCAAGAAAATGGCAGTTATAAAACATATTTCGATGAATTATTTTGAAGAATCATATAATAATTATAAATATTGTCGAAAACTTTATTCTTAACCTTGTTCATAATTCTCATCGAATGACTCACTGAACCTAACGTTCTTGCAGAGATGTCAGTTTTTTGCTTGAATTTTTGGTTCTTAACTCCACAAGGCTTGAATAAAGCATTTACGCAGAAATCAAAAAAATCAAATCAAATCGAAAAAGAAAATTTTTAAATCGTTGCCCTTCGAAACTTTTAGTTTAATTTAAAATATCTCTAATATCTCATTTTTCATACGAACTCCTCGAATGTTTTTTCATATATGAATTTATTTATATTTGAATTTATTAAAAATTTTGCGCGATAACGCAAAATGCTTATTAAAGTTCATCGCATGAAATATTTTCCTTAAAAAAATATTTTTTATATTTAATGCAAATTTATAGAAATTCAAAAATTTTATAATTGAGAATTTATTGAAAAATACTGAATAAAAATAAATGAACATAGAAGTGGTTAAAGAGAAAAAATAAAGAATTTGAGAGGAATTTTCAAATAAAATTAGGAGACACCTTGCTTTTATTGAGTAAAAATAAAATATAAGAAAGCCGATTGTAGGAAATTCGTTTCTTCTCGATCGGATCTATAATAGTAGGCGTGTCGGCGAATCTGGATTCTAATGATACGAAAAATGAATGGGAACCAAATTTTCAACGAGACAGTGCATGGAGATATTCATATATATATTGATAGATATACATAAGCAATGTAATTCAATATCCACTCAATGCAATTGTTTAATCTTGTCGGCAAATACGCATTACCGTTTGCTTTTCGACTGATTTTACGATCGTTAATAATTATTTTAAAAGAAAGGACCAAAACTTTGAAAATCTCATTGCTATTATCACAGGTTTCGGATGAATGAAAAAAGCTGGTAGGAAATCATAGAAAGTTCATGGAAATATTTCTTAACGATAGAAGTTGGATGAAAAAAATAAAGAATATAAATTATCAAAAAATTTTTCAATAGTGCCACTGCTAAAATAATGCAACAACACTGATAATTTCAACACTGATAATAATTTCTCAACACTGATCAGCTTAAGACAAAAAGAGTTTATTAAAGGGTAATGAATGTACCACAAAAAGAAGATGGTGGATGGCAAATTTTTACTACAATGATGTTTAGTAAATATTTTAACCTCAGCAAGATTTATTGGTTTATAAATTAGTGGTGACGATGATAGGTTGCTTCATTACCATTGTTCATCTTCAGTACCATTGTTTGCCTGGTTGGCTAAGTACCATAGCCACTAAATTTCTATTAAAGTCCATCATAAAATATTTTGAAAAAATGGGCTTATGGGAAGACGGGAATCATTATTTTTTCACATTTTAGTAATATTCATTCCATTCTCTATTAATATTCCCATAATCCCATTTTCACCTTTTTCGATTAAACTTTTACTTTTTATGACAAATTTATTTCTGGCTCTACCAACAATGTTCTTGTAGCAGCTCGTGCAACTGCTCGCTTAGTTGGCTTCACTGCTAATGAAGATGAGACGTTTTCAAGCCTGATTCAGTGCCATATCTAGACAGGTTTAGGAATCAAAATTTGCCTTCAAACGAACTTTTCCACTATTTTATATTTAGGTCACAAATTATTATATGAAAAAAAGAATACTTAAGGTGATGTTTAAGATTTCTATTATGGTTATCGCAAGTTCTTCGATTAACACTGAGCAATCAAATGTAACCATTCTCATAGTTGATAAGCTAAGACCAAAATATTCGAGTTTTTTTATTTTGGTTTATATGCTAATTTACTAGTTTACTAATAATTCTAATAAATTATCGATGATCTGTCATTTGAAATTTTAATTAAAAGCAAATATCGCGAAAAACTTCGATTAATGAATTGCTACTTATAGTAATTGCTTGACAATTTTTTTAAATTTTTTTTCTGGATTTTTGTCTAAAAATTAAAAAATTAAAAAGTTGATTCTTTTAAAAGGCAATTTTGGATTTAAAATTATAGCAGAAACTGAAGTCGTATTTTCTATAGAATTCCAAAAGTTTTACGATTTCGTTAGTTTTTCTTAGAATTTTTTCTTAGAATTTAAATTTCTTAGAGTTTTAGAATTTTTTTTTACTTTTATGAAAGTATTACAACGAGTCAATGACGAAAAATTTTTAGGAAAAACTAATTATCATATATTAAAATTTGAGAAAATTTTTAAATTTTTTTCGAAGCTTCGCGTTTTATGGTGGAGAGCAAATTATTAAAAAAATTCCCAATGAATTCCCAATGAAATTAGCCAAACTCCAAGCTCATGCAGAAACAAGGTCGTGTTCCATATATTCATTAGAAAGCCTATATATATGACCACCTAATTAATAAATGAAAATTGAATTGTTTATTAATCCTCTGAAAGACTGGAAAATGTTTTCAATATTTTACAAACAACAGCACTAAATAGAAATTGAATTCATAAATTCGATTGAAGAATTCAAATAATTTATTAAATAAATCGATGTTTCCATTAAAGTTCCATTTCCAAAATTTGAAGGCGTTTATTTTCAGCAGAAAGGCAAGGCTTCGATGAATATTTTTGGATATTGTGCTTTTTAGAAAATCATGTCAACACACATACAGATCAACAGATCAACCAAAATTGTGTTACATTATGTAATTATAATTGGGAATGAAAAAAATCGCACATCTTGTAAAATTTTAATGCGAATTATTTCTAAAAAGCACTTTCTTATCATTTCATCACCTTTTTTGCATCGCTCACACCACGTTTTCATCTTAAAGCATCTACAATCCAAATATTTCATACAAGGAACTGATTAATCTTTACAACCGAAGATCATTAAAAGATCAACATTTTTTTTCCTACTTTCATTATAATATAGCGTTATAATTTTTTTTTTAAAGAGTCCTCACCATTACTGGTTAAACTCGCTCCACTGGCTTGTCGCATTGGACAATATGCCAGGGAGTCCTTTGGCGATAGAAATACAAGTGAGTCGCCAGCATCACTCGGATTTTTGTACAGGTTTACTCCTGCGGGGAATCGAACCTCAACATCGGCGCTCCCAATTGAGCAACAATCCACTGAGCAATCCCCTATTAAAGCACTATAATAGAAACCATTAAACCATTTGATAAAAAAGTACTATAAAAGTTGGCTGGCTAATTGATTTGGTCGGTCAAAATACAATTCATCTTTTACCTTCTGTCAGTAAAATCAAAAAATCTCCAAATCGCAAAAATCAGAGAATATATGAGAAATTTACGATTATAATAATAAAAAGAAAAGAAATGAGAGATTTAAAAGAAAGTTTTTTTCAATCTAAATTGTTGAATTACGATTATTATTATTTTTTTCATCATTGTATTTTGAGAATTGAGTTTTTGGAAAAAATCGATAGAGAAAAGTTGGAAAGATTTTAATAATTTCAAAAACGATAACAATTTAATTAAAAATTTTTGAAATATTTTGGTCAACTCGGTTGTTCTTCAATAGAAAGCTTTAAAAAATATGGTCAAATTTTTGTTCTCAACTATATGAATGCAGTACTTTATTCTAAAATTTAATGCTGAGGACCGACTCAGTACTGGTTCAAACAACATTTCCACCAAAGAATCAAGGGGGTAAAAATAGAGATAGACCAGACCTGCGGCACTATCACCTTTAATAAGCCCTACAAGGGCCCAAAATGCACAGTGAATTATTTTGATGTAAGCTGGCAAAATGAAAAAAATTGAATTTAAAGAACTTATTATGTATTAAAAAAATGGTTTTAAAATGCCGTTTTTTTAATTTTTCCTGTCATGTCACTTTTTGATAAAAAATCGTTAAGAGGAAGCAAAAGGAAATCATCATCCTAATTGCGATCGAAATAAAGAGAAAGTTATTGAAATTAATTAGAAAATAAGTAAAAAAGTTTGTTATTATTATTTCTCATACCAGGGGCTAGTGTAAGAGTACCAGGGAGTCAGAAGGGAATAGAAGTGCGGACGGTTCTCGAATACTATTTAGTTGAAACAACAATAAAAATAGCCAATAAGCCACAATTATAACAACTTCATTTCTGTAACAATTCCCAAATCACTAAATAAGCTATTTAAAGAACAAAGATATTGCAATAATATTGAAAGAAAGGAAAATAGTACCAAGATTAAAAATGCCATTTTTCAAAATAGTGATTTAACTTCTAATCGCAATGATTGTACCAAAAGTCGTCTAAAAAATTGAAAGTAAATTTGTTGGTTGTTGAAAGAAATTAATGACGCATTAATAGTCGCACATCAAGAGTGTGGAAAGCGAGGTAATGGACAAATGAAGAAACATTTGAGTAAATTTTGAATAAATTTGGCAGTGCTTTTAAGTGCACAAAATGCAGAGAGGCAAATATCTTTTACATCAATAAATTTAACTAAGTTTTTAAATTGAGAAGTTTTAAAGTAGAATATATCCAACTTGCTTAATCCAGTAGCATAAATTTTGTTTTAGAAACTTCTTTAATAAAATGCATGAATTCTTTAGCAAATATGCTGCGAGAACCTGGAATTTTTTGACAAATTTGGTGGACTTATGAAGACTGAATTTTTGCAATCTTATACAGTATCATTTAAATATGAATATAAAAAATAGCGATATTAGAAATCTTTATTGGTTTGCTGTTTGATTATTGCTGAATAAAAAATTTGAAAAACCGTTATAA